TTCTTGAAGGCCTTCTTCTGCGCCTCCTTCTCTTTCTTGGCCTGCTGTGCCGCCTGTCGAGCCGTCTCCTCTTCCTTCTCCTTCAGCAGTCGAGCCGCGGTCTCCTCGGCCTGACGCGCCTGCACACACACACACCAAAAGATGGCGTTACAATAAAATGATCACAAAGTAAAAAATGTAAATTAAGTTGCCACCCATCTGTCATTTGAAACAGGAAGTGTTAGTGTGACTGACCCGCTCCTTCTCCTCCTGCTCCCGTTTCTTAGCCTCGGCTTTGGCCTTCTTCTCCGACTCTTTCCTGGCCTTCTCCTCCTCTTTGAATTTTTTGATTCGCGGGTCGCAGTTGTAGGCGGTGTCTGTAACACACACACACACACACTCACACAGCCGCTCACAGCGAGATCTGTCGTGTCTGACCCGATGACACTCACCAACGAGAGTCCGTATCCGGTTCATCTCTTCCTTCTTCCTCTGAGCTCGAGAGGCTCGGTTCTGTTTCTCGATCCACCTCCTCTCATCTCGACTGCAGGAACACACAAAGAAAACTACATCGTTTTATTTCAATTTATATCAATTTCATTTCAAGTGTCGTGGGTTTTTTTTTGATGGTTTTAGTCGACCAGAACAACTAGGGGTGGAAATATTTTAAAAACCCACAATTCGATTCTGGATTTTGAATCACATTTCAATTAGATACAGTAAATGCATAGATTTCAAATCTATTATCAAATCTATGCATATGAATATTTTCTGGAAATAAATTTCGGATACAGCCAGATATTCATTTTTCATTGATTCTTGCACCAAACAACACAACAAGATGGCATTTAATAATAATAATTTAAGCTCTTTATTATACTGCCGAATCTGTGCTGGTTTGTAATGGCCGCCTCCAGTTTTCCCTTTGCTTTGCCTCCAGCTAGCGCCGTGATGTCGGCTCGATATTGGTCTATAGAGCATATCATGACCAAATATAATTTACCATTCAGCTTTTTCCTTTTCCTCCTCGTCTAGATATGAAAATTCCCTCCACGAGTCAAAGTTGTACCTTGAAAGGAAAAAGTTTGTATAATTTAGGCATGAATTAGGCTCAATATATATATATATTAGTTAAATGAGGCTCACGTACCAAAAGGAATAGAAATTATCCACGTCTTCAAAAGAAGAGTCCATGTTTCCCAGACTCGGGCTGTGTTTTTTAAGAGACCACCTGATTGGAGGAGATGCGGCGGAGTGATTTCTGTGCACTGAACGTGTCGTGTGAATCACTTAGGTTGTTTCTTACCTTGCGTTCCTCTCAAACACCGGCGCAAACACCTCAAAAAACTTTTCTTTGCCCTCCGCCTTGGAAGGAACCGCATTGTCGAACGTTGGATCCACGCTGTCGAACGCTCTGCGTTTCACAGGATCTGACAGGATCTCTATCGCTGCAACCGAACAACACCATCATTCAGAAAACATCAAGTGAACGATCTTAAAGAGCTTTCGCTAGTGTGTAATGTTGCCGTTTGATCATGAAAAAGTGTTTCTGATTCGCCTAGTCTTGAGTTTCATCCGGGAACACCTCTTAATATTCCTCATTATAATAATTAATGCGCATAATAAAGGGGCGGGGCCAAGTTGAGTTAGTCAGTAGTGTGTTAAACTGGCGGTTATGGAAAGGGGCGGGACATTTCCCAAACACACTCGACCAATCACAACACACTGATCCAGCTGACCAATCAGAGCACAGTGTGCTTTCAGGAGGCGGGGCTTCTTAGAGACAAGAGCGTTACTGACAGACTGGGAAGAGAGGAGCCGCAACAATGGAGAATATGAGGAGAATAATCAACATTAAAGCAGGAAAACCTGCTCTAGTAGAGAAACGACATCATCAAACCTTTGTGAAAGAGCATATTTAACACAAACAGCATTAATTTCACTTCTGATTGTCAAACCTTTTGTTATGCAAGTGAAATAATCATTATCCCCCTCCACGATCTGCTCTCCCGCCGCTTTCCTCTTGTCCGGGTGATGTTTGAGGACCATGGCTTTATCTGCGCACAACAACAGTGTGTTACTGCTAAACATCCGGCATATTCTTCAGTGAAGTAGAGAGGACAGGAGCACTTACGAGCCGCTTTGATCTGCTTCTGGGTCGCTTTATACCGGACGTGTGCAAGACCGAGAACAGCGTAGTGATCCTGGTTCTGTAACATCAAGAGAAGTGTGTCAATGCATGGAGTTCACACACGCACACACACACACGTCTCTACACACCTTCCAGTCTTTGGGGTCCAGTGTCTTTAGCATTGGATACTCCTCCAGCTGAAGCTCCTCGTCCTCCTCTTCCTCGGACAACTCCTCCTCTTCCTCCAGCTCTTGAAACGAAGCCGACACATTTCTACTCCTGCGCTTCAGAAACGCCTCGAACCAGCGGCCCACGGGCTCCACCTGCACCTGCACCGAGACTGACGACACACACTCATGATGATGAACCCGGACGGACACACACACACACACCGCTTCACATGCGATTGAGGGGCTTTCATTTTTTTTTTAGTTTGAATTTCATTTTATTTTATTTTATTATCCAAAGGAGCAGCACAAAATCCAGAGCAATTACACCTTTCCCACACTAAAATTTATAATAATGTTAAAATAATTAATTTTTAAGATTTTTATTTTAACATATATATATACACAACCATGTTTTTATACATACAACAAACACACGTTCAGGCATTATAATTTAACATTCCTCAGTATCTATTTATTTAATACTATCTTGCATCTCATTAAATAAATCTACGTTTCATCTGAATTAAATTTCTAATTAAAATTAGATTTTCCAAAGAAAGTCTTGTTTTATATACAATTTGGAGGGACAAAACTGCTCTAGACAAAAATAACAAGCAATCTACAAGAAGCATAAATAAAGTTTGGAGACATCATTTGTTTCTAACTGTGTCTTCATTCATCAGATTCATCTCTGTGACAAAACATGACAATACGATCTAAACACACCATCTGCATATGAACTAAGCGCTCTAATAAAAATGTGTGAGGTGTCCAGATGAGTGTGTGATGCTGCAGATTCACTCTCTCACACACACACACTCAATGTCTCTTACCGGCGACGGCGTTATAAAGCTCTGTAAGCTGGCCGTCTAACGCCTCCTTCAGCATCTTCATGAGCTCAGACACACAGATGACACAGAAGAGCTCGCATTAGCAGAACCGATAGGCCTGATTGTGATATTCTTAAGCTGCTGTTTAGCCCGGGTCACTCAGATCCACATGGGCCGCACACAGCTGTCTGCTGGGGAACTGTGTTACACTCTCAGTCTTCCGACACGCAGCGGGGAGAGGCTCACATTTGGTTCCGCTACCGGAGATAGAGTTTACTACTGTAAAACCTTCGTAAATTAATCTTTCTTTCAAACAATGTAAGAAGCAGTATAAACTTATTTGTAACGAAAGTCCCCAGATAATATGACACCACAGATTTAGTGTAGTAACAAGTCAAAGTCAAACGATGGTATTTTGCTGGTAATTATTATAGTATGCAGAATACAGTAGTCAACATATGAGGTGGATAAAAACCTTTCATCAAAATTATAATGTGTATAATTTGAATAATGTGTGTGTGTATATATATATATATATATATATATATATATATATATTACAAGGTTTAAAGATGGCAGTAAAATTAGCACTAGATTTAACACACAATTCATGTATTTCTGACAATTCAAGCAATTCACATTTCTTCTTTGTAATGTGATACAATCTTTATTGACAAATAAAAATATCCATTATGAACATCTGTACATCAGATTACAGTAAACGTTCAGAAACTGTGGACCCGTTGGCATCTCAGAACAGGTAAGAGACAGTTGTCAAACCTTGTAAATCTCCCTAAACACTCTTCAGGCCTTATGCAGTTTACAGCTCACAAATTAATTGTGAATACCCAGAATATTAGACTGTACATTTTTGTGTGGCAAATAACTTCATAACACTCACTCCTGTTTTATAGTTTTACTAAAGGACTTAGTCCTTTTTTTTTTCTTTTTTACAAAATGTACAATTAGTAAGTAGTTTTTTTGTGTTAGTTTTGCCTTTGACACTTCACATCTCAGTGTAATCTAAAGACAAGTGTAATCTGTACAGTCGCTCGACGCAAATGACAGACCGACCTGTTCTTCATCACATATCAAAACACATACGCAACACACACACACACACACACAGCAGGGTCAGAGGATGCCTGACCTTTCAGAACCTAAACATGAGCAGGAGTGATGTGTTGTGTTAGAGTGTGTATGCATGTGTGTGTTAGAGAGAGAAAGAGAGAATTTGTTAGTGTCTGTGTGTGTGTGAGAGTATGCGTGTGTGTATGCATGTGTGTGAGATTATAGCAGAGAAGACTCTGATCTGAGACCTGCCCACTCACGCAATCACAACAGGAACATCCATTCAGAGCAGCATCTATCAGCAAACCAAAAGTTGATCAATGTCTGAAAAATCAAAAACAATGACAGTTCATTATATTGTTAAAGTTGTGAAGGAGGATAAAGGCACCCCGTCCTCAGATCTCACAGATATTCAAGGCTTTGCATGTGCCAAAAATTCATCTCACAAAACATTTACAGGTCACTTTTTATCCCAAAACAATAAAATTAAGACAGTAAAATAATTAACATATATATTCAACAAAGGAAATAAATCCTACTTTAATGACCATTTTTATTACACCGTGATCATAGTTTAGACCATATTTTATAATTCTTGTTAGATTCTTATTACTGTAAACAAATTCTGTAAAACAACTTTTTAAAATTAAGTAAGCATGTACAACAAATAATATATAAATACTATATATTTTAAATAACATAACTTTATTTTGTACTGTATTAATAAGATTAATTTTATTTGAGAGAAGAAAATGTGTCATTGAAATTCTAATGGTCATAAAAATAGATTTTTTCCCTTTAAATTACATTTTGATTTCATTTTTTTTTATTTTGTAGTGAAATATGACCCGTTTGCGTGAGATTTACCCATTAACGCTTCTTTCCTCCCACAAAATTCACAGTTCAGGTTTTAGTTTGTTTTTTTTTCAAAGTCACCTAAAGAACGACCTTATACAAATAGTTAAGAGCAGAAAAGATGAATACATTTGCATTTGAGTTAAAAACCATGATACATTATTTGTCATTTTCAGTCTTTTAGTATATTTACAAACGTTTCTTTTTTTAATACAACCATAAAATGAGTAAGTGTGCCCAGATTACGACCCTGTGTCACAACGAATAACCCCAGAATCTCCTAAGCCGGAGCAGCAGTGGAGGGGCGTTTAAAGGGCTCGTTTTAAAGGGTCGTGCCGGCGCTAACGTGCCGCTAACACGCCGCTGACACGAATGAAACTGACATTCCCTACATCACAATCCCAGAATGCCGAGCTCTCGAGGGGAAATGGAAGTGCACTTCTTCCATGTAACTGCTTTGTGAAGCTGGTTAATCATGAACTAAAACCAATTAGTAACAGTTTCCAAAAAAAATTAAGGCATTGTTCACTAAAAATCCCACAAAGCCTCAGTAACGACTGGTCTGTCCCACTAAAGAACATCCCAAAGGTTCCTGAGGGGCGCTGTCTCCAGGGAATGGTGGTTTGGTGTAGACGTGCTGGTGTGTGTGTGTGTGTGTGTCCTATCTGCGGGCAGCTGATGCCGGAGCGCTGAACAGTGGTGTGAGGCTGCTGGGAGATGTTTGTGGGAGGAGGAGGTTCCCGTTGTTCGTGGACGGGCGGTTGATCCGAAGCCGTCTCAGGTACTCGGCGTGAACGGGTTTGTGGCTCTGCAGAACCTTGATGGCCTCATCGACGGGGAACCACTCCCGCTTACGGCCTACGGGACAACACTGCAGCATTAGTACAATACATCTTGCAAATATTAGCAGGTTAGAAATCTACGGTGAGGTCCAGCGGTCTAAAGACACATGTTAAGGTGGATATTTTAAGGTGGACATTTTAAGGTGGAATTTTTGCTTTTAAAACTGGAAAATTACCAAAAGTCTCGTGACATTTGTGTTAAATCGTCCTGAACAAAAATGAGCTTGTTAAATCATTCTTAGATATAGATCATCATTATTCATTAGTGTTTGAATGAAATTAAATTAAACAGTAAAATAAAATACAACACAGCACGCAGGCATGAGAATTTGAGGGTTTAGTTCAATTAAATTGAATAATTAAATAAAATAAAAAAATAAATTAAATTAAACAGTGTTGAGAATTTGCCTGATTAATGAAATAAAATAAAATATTAAAATACAATAAAATAAAATAGTCAAGAGAACTTGAGAGGGTAATTAAATTATATTAAATAATACAATTAAATTAAATAATACAAAAAATAAAACCAATCATGAGAATTTGAGAGACTAATTAAATTAAGTTAATGTTAATGAGAGATAATTAAAATAAAATAATGAGAATATGAGGGGTTAATGAGATTAAATAATTCAATAAAATAATAAAATAGTTATGAGAATTTAAGAGTGTAATTAAATTATATAAAATAATACAATTCAATTAAATTAAATAATTCAAAAAATAAAACAAATCATGAGAATTTGAGAGATTAATTAAATTAAGTTAATGAGAGATAATTAAAATAAAATAATGATAATATAAGGGGTTAATTAGATGAGAATAATTCAATAAAATAACAAAATAGTTATGAGAATTTGAGAGGGTAATTAAATTATATAAAATTATATATTAAATTATTTATATAAATACAATGAAATTAAAGTAAATTATACTTATTTTTAAGGCCGTATTAAATTAAACAAAACATTCAAGAGAATACGAGGAACTTACAATCAGGGAATAATTGTAAAATCAGCACACACACACACACACACACACACACACACTCACCGATATTGACCGAGTCCTCCCAGTCATCCAGCGTCTCCGTGACCGTCAGCACATACACATACGTCCGGTGTTTCCGGTCCTGGTTCTGCTGTTGTTGAAAAAATAAACTATATCAGTATGAGGGACTGTAATCACATCAGAGAGTCTAAACCGTCCAATCAGGAGAGCCGTACCTCAAACACGCCGAGCAAACGTCCTAATTTACCCTTCACACCAGCCTGAGGGAGAGAGATAGGATCAGATCCACGACAATCCTACATTTAGCCATGAGATTCCCAGAAGTCTAACAAATATCATCAAACTCTTCACCTCACTGAATATGAACGTCAATCAAACGAAGCGTGTGCTAAGTGAGTACCGGCTGTAAATGTAAAGCTGTGTGTCCGTGATGTGAAATGAGTGGTGTGTTGTCGCACCTCCTCAAAGACCTCCCGAACCGCGGCTCCACACGGCTCCTCCTCCGGCTCCATTCCTCCTCCGGGAACGATCCACTGATCCGGGTTTCTGCTGCTGCTGACCAACAACACCTGCGGAAGCACAGCGGGTTCAGTCTCACACAATACATTAAAATTTGATTTAACAAAAAAAAAAACAACAAAAAAAAAAAACAGGTTTGCTGTGCTTGTTTGTTGGTCTGCACAATTTAACAATATTTATTTATTGAGTGAGTGTTGTTTTATTTATAAAACTGTTTTGTGCTTTTGTCAATTTTATTAGTTTTGTTCTTTTATATATGAATTTATCATTATTTCAGTTTTTCATTTCTGTGCTTCAAACTTAACAAGTACAACATTTAGCTCATTATTTGAATTAAAATAAAATAAAAATACCTTTTCCAAATTGACATTAAATTCTAACAAAGTTATGTGCAGATATTATACAATAACATTCTAAGCAATAGATTAACACAAATAATGGTGTGGAAAAAATAAAAAAAATATTTTATCTTTTTTTAAAGTGGGGTTTAAAGTTAGGGTTCAATTCTTGCTGTTTTTTATAAAATAATTAATAAAGTGTCCCTATTTATAATAATATAATAATTAAAAAAAGGGTAACAATAAGTGACTTCTGAGTCTGACAGATGGACGCAGCAGAACTGCAATCTGTCTCTCTGATTGGCTAATCCTCCAGATGCTGCTGATTGGCCCTCAGGTGTGTCCTGCACTAAGAGGATTGTGGGATTGACGGTGCGTGTGATGTTCTGGGCCAGACTGGGGTTATTTCCTTTCTTAAAGAGAACCACAGGAGTCTGTGTCACAGAAACGACAAAGCTTTGATTTCATACGTGGCATCTTAAGTTTGTGTGTTCAGTTGTTTTCTTGAAACATTTCCCAGGGTCCGTCACACATGACCATCAGTTTAAGCTACAAAAGAGCTTGTTCTCAAACACTCAATCAACAAAACAACAACGACCTGTGTATTCCTGTAACTATGTGATGAAGTACAGTACCATACAGTTTAGGAAAAATGGACGACAAAGAAACCTCTTGAACAAACAGGTTTGAGAATAACTCAAGCACAACCAGTAATTTACACTCCCATAATTACACCCTGCTGAAAACACATCCATATATCACCTTTGACCCCAAAATACCAGGAATAAAACAAGGATAATGTGCAGACAGCCATGACGGATGGAAGCGGTTTCTTTGACTTATTCCATGGTGGTTTACCAGAGAAATAAACAAGTTAAACTAGATTATATATAATGCATAAAACCTAGATTACATTAAGAATAACATAATGGCATTATTTCTATGATAAATAAGTACATTTTCAAATTCTCATTACTGTAATGCTTTTTCTAATCCTCAAAGGTGACTCTAATTACTATTCTCACTTTTTACAAAAAGCAATCAGAATAAATTAAAGCTAGTGAAACAAACACTGCCGTGCCGTATGAATTATTCACAATTTAAATGATATATCATTAGGAGATTTTCCACACTCTTCACCTTGACAACATGAAATCAATCCCTTTTCACGTTCTCATTCGCTCCATTGACAGCGTTTTACGACTTTCTTTAAATAGAGAGAATGATTATGTTGGTCGGAAGAGAGAAAGACGTCAAATTACCCATCACTCCCTCAGCCGTTGTGTTAAAAACTCTCTAGTTTTGTGTAATTTCATGCCAAATGTAACACGTAACACAAAGCATGGTGCTACAAATCTACATAGGCTTCATTTATAAGTACCGTGTGATGTTAACAGTGCAAATGCATCAGTCTGTGAAAAGGCTCCACTTTTTTAGTACGGTAGTAAAATGGATTGTGAATGTCATTATTGTTGACATTAAGAGGTTCTCCATGACGCATTAATGACGTTTGTAATGATAACAAAGTGTGTGCAAAACATGAATCATCAGGTGTCTAATTGAATCACACCCACTTATTTCCAGTGGCCTCATATTGATTAAGAGTTTAATGCATGAGCAGAACAGATATGATTATTTACACGGCGGATTTCTGCATGGAAAATCACTGTCATATCGGGATGAATAGGATTACGTTTCCCACATCGTACCGAGCCGGCGGAGGTCACAGACGCTTTAGGGACTTTCAGCCGAGTGCCATGACCTCATTACAAGGACAAACCCGGAGCAGCCCGGGGTCAAGAGTCCCGTTTCAGGACACAGATTCAGTCGTACAGCCCTTATTGACCACACCACACCACAAATATAGACCCGTGCTGTTTTAGTGCCACAGAATTTAGTGTGATTAGTAATTTTGGTAGGGTATTTTTTTTGTCTATATAAAACTTTTGTTAATTTTTATTTCAGTTTTAGCTATTTTAGTACATCAAGTTAAATAAAAATGAGAAATGTCTTTTGCAACTAGCTGAAAAAAACATAATTTTTTATAATATATAAAAGAAGATCTCATTAATTAACCTTAGTTAATGTATTAACTAACAACGAGCAGTACACTTGTGTTACAGTATTTATTATTCTTTGCTGTGCTAATGTCGTTTATGTTAGTTCATTAGTTTTATAACATTTATTATAGTTGTTAACTAACAGAACCACTATTGTAAACTGTTACCAGTGTTTCTTATGGTTTTAGTTTAGTTGATTATAATAACCCTGAAATAGAGTACAAAAAAATAAAAAAAACATATCAGCTTCATCACTGAATAAAAGTTTGAAACACTTCCCGAGTGTGTGAAGTCTGCATGTGACTATTTTAGCAGTAGCATCTCAGAGTTATATTTTAGTAACTCAGGCTTTATTTAACCATAAACAGCAGCGCATGATGCTAAATGATGAACCGCAGTGGCATCTGTCCTCCTTTAGTCACCTGTGGCATACAGGCATGCATTCTGGGAGAAATAGAAGCATTTCTATTTCTATCTAGCATTTCTATAAGAGTTCTAAACTCTGGAACTCTTTACCTTTTGAAATCAAGACTGTGTCTGACTTTAAGCTGTTTATTTCCAGGCTGAAAAATTGGTTAAAAATAAACCAAAACTGTACTTATTTTAACTATATTTAATTATTAGAGTTGTATATGATATGCATGCATGTTTATATTAGTATTATTATTATTTTTTTTTTACTGAAGTAGCTAATCATGTAAATTTTATTGTGTATAAAAGCCCTTCCAGGGACAGGAGTTGAAAATTAGCAATAGCTATAAACTTTATATGCAACACTTCAGTGACATGCTTGGTCTTGACACTATGTTTGTTTGCATTGTCCCTGTCAAATAAATAAATAAATAAATTTGGGATTGACAAATCGCAGTTGAATTCTACTAACACACACTTGCCGTTGCGAGTGTATGAAGTGAGCTGAATGCGAGGGATTTTGACTCAAGCGCTCGCTGATCCTCTGCCCTCCTCTCACCCGCTTTCACCCCGACACAAAGGGCAGCCATTTCAGACGAGTTCCCCCTCACACACACACTGACCACGGATCAGCCTGTAGGAATGTGTGAGGAGCTGGCCTGAGATCAGCAGGCATGATGGGTAAGGCTACAGCCCAGATTTCCACACAACAGCTCAAACAACTCAGATTCTTCTGTTTGGTTCCTTGGATACAAGGACGCGACAGAACAGAGAAACCTCTGACACTAAACTTAACTAACACTCTGCAGGTTTATGGTGTGATTAATTATTTACAAGATGCACTCAAGACTTTACTGGTCACCTACAAGATAATTAAAAGCTTTCATTGCATGCATTTGTGTTTTACTACGTGCATCACACATTAAACACAAAAACGGCACTGTACAAAATGATGCAGATAAAGATTATTAGAGATTTAGAGTATGCACTATTTTAGTCGTTCTAATTCAAAATGTCATGTTTAAGTCAATGTGCTTTTTCTTTCAGTGTTTCAGAGCAATGCCTTTATCCCTGGCTGATGGATCAATATGTGCTTTTTAAAATTCTAATTCTTCATGTCTTTTCATTCAGTGTTTTCTTGGAAGTCGATTAACCTGATGCAGCTGTATGCAGAAACTGAGAGCTGCAGTCTGACGTGCTTTTATTGCATAACTGCTCTACGGAAGCCCGGCGACCGACAATCTAAAGTGCCTTTAATTCATGAGTAACAGGACAAGTCATAGTGACGGCCGGAGCCAAGCAGACGTGTGTGCAATGGATATGGATGGATGGAAAGAAAAGGTTGAATCCAGTTTTCTAATGCAGCTGAAACAGGTTTACTTGACTAATTTATGATCACTGGGATTTTGGCCTGTCCAGCGTGTGTGTGACCGAGATCACAGCCCTCGATGAGAACTAAATGACCAGATGTGCTCTAGAGATTACGCTGTACTGTGATCTGAACAGTCACACACACATGCATGCTGCAGAAACTTCGCTTTCTAAGAACACCTGACAGTGACAAACTGATCTCAGATCACTTCCAAATGTAAACAGCACTGCGTAGTGTTTCTGCATAATACAATAGGCTATTTGTTTGTGTGATGTACTGCAACTATCCAAGTGGGAATAATAAAATCAAAATTAAACATACCCATACATATGTTTAATTTATACACATACATATGTCACACATGCGTGCATATATCACACATGCGTGTGTGTGTGTTGACGTATACACACGCATCCACACTTTCTGTATATATATGAAGAGTTCAGATGCAAAAGCCTCTAAGTGCCATTTGAAATTTTCTTCTAAAATGATCATTTTTAGCAAGCTTGTATATTTAAGTTCAGTGATTTCACTTAAATGGCAATGAAGATTACCTATTAATTGTCATTTAAGTGAAATTACTGAACTTAAATTTACAAGCTTGATAAAAATGATCATTTTAGAAGAAAATTTCAAATGGCATTTAGAGGCTTTTGCATCTGAACTCTTCATATATATACACAATATATAAACACAAACTTTTATGTTAGCTGTGATTAATTGATTTGATAGCACTAATATCAATCTATGCATCTATATGTATCCACCCATGATGAAACAGCACAGATGCACACAGTTCTAGAGGGTCAGTGGAAACAGTTTAAAAAAATGTACAAATAAATAAATATTACATAATAAGATTAAAATAACTCTAAAAATGTGCTTTAAAAATATGAGTTAGTTAATAATCCATTTAATTATATTAAAATAAACGAATACTTTTTAATTACTAATATAAATAAAATTAGATTAAAATTAAATAAATAAACAAACCATCAATACCGCATTTAACAGTATATAACCACAGTGAGTAGAGAAAAAAAAATAATAGAAATTATTTTTAACGCTAGATTTTTTGGGGTCAACCAGGTTGATCATATTTGGGGGTCCTCCTTGCTCGAAACCCCTTGTACTAACGTACGATGACATCACATGACACCTGATTTACAGCTCTCATTTACAGTATACATATTTACTCTACGAATATCTGACTGTATGTTGTTGTCATATATTCCGACTGGGACTCGGGTGAAAGGCACACACGGATGTTGATACACGGATTTATCATCGGTGCATCATGTCTGGTTTAGATAATATCTCCGTACCTCATCCTCCCGTTCGTTCTTGAAGCACAGGCACGCCGCCCGCCGCTTGAATCCCTCCCGGTCGTACGTTCGCGTCTGGTTCGGTTTGAACTTCATGCTGAAATCCTGTCGGTCCTTCGGTTGATGTATCCGACCGCCGGTCACTAATGCTCCGTGAACGGCCCGAGCTCCGTGAGTCACCACCACCGACGGTCAGAAAGACGGACCAGTACCGGGCTGGACCGAGCCTACGGGTTAGCGTTAGTTTAAAATCCTATTTAAAGCATTCCTCCGAGTTTAGTCCAGTAAATTCGTTTTTTTTAACGACAACTCTGCATTCCGCTACCCATCCACAGGTCAAAATACCTCTTCACCCGGTATATATACGTGTGTGGTGGGCCGGGTGCGAAATTACTAACGTTAGTATGTTGACTGCTTGCTGCTTAATATTTATAAGTTAAACCGTTAGCATTGGAAGTTTACCAGGCAACGTCAGCATATATTAATCAGTGGCGTTCACCATTGGAAGGCAATGCCACGACGTCACCATTGACTAATTAATATTCATGAGTAACGCCTTCCTCGTAGTAGGATTTGTTCTCCGTGAACTACGATGATCACACTAGTCCGTTACTGCATTACTGCGTGGCCTCCTGTCACATATCCCGCAGGATTTGTATGATCATCTTTTACTGTTAATTTAAGTAGAGTTGTTTAGACGAAACACGTAATTTAAACAACAGATATTTCACGGTAGGACATTCAGTTGACAAAAAAAAAAAAAACAAAAAAAAAAACACAAAAATCAGTTTAGTCACGAGTGTTTCGACAAAATTTATTACGAATTATCAAAAAATAGCAACGCAGAAAATAATATTAAATTAATACTGCGCAACATTCCCAATGTAATGAGGATTCAATGTAAAAAAAGTACCACGGTAATAACATGTTTTTTTTTTAAATATATATATTATTATTATTCTCTAATGTAATGCTGTTAGTGAGGACTGGACTTTGGCATACAGATACCGATCTGATTAAGTTATGATTGATCACATTGATAAACTTTGACAAGAAAAGAATTTAACAGCATTTTCTGTGTAATCAATGTGCAAACAGCATGAAGAAACAGTTGCAGATGCACTTATCAACTGAGTGAAACTATTGGCACCTTTAATGATAAACACTCATTACTTTTACAGAGAATAATTTTCAAGGTGGGTTTAATCTTAAAATCATTAGTACTTGGACATTTGACTCAAAACCAAATAGTTACTTGAGATTTTCCCTGGAATGCACTATCATCTGATCTTTCTTAACACCAATAAAATTCAAGTGAATACATTGTTTTTGACATCTAACCTGAGACAGACAGAAACACACTGCAGTCGTCATGCATTTAATGAGTGAATTACAGACATCTGATGGGTTAGTGAGTATAAAGTAACTTCAGACATGATGACTATAGAACCTCAAACATGGGTGAAATGCATTAATCACAGTAATCAGACGGCATTATAATGGAAATGAGCATTTGCCATCAGCTTTCAGCTCAACAGGTTCTGAGACAGATCAGAGAAGAGTGAATCTGTTCACAGCCTTAATAGGATTACATGGATCTGATCAGAGCAACATCTGCACACTCACTGAACGTGACTTCTCACTCACATTTGTTGAATACGTCTCTCCCAAATAAAGTTGTTTTTGTAGAATCAGAAATTAACTTCCATCTTAAGGTTTACAGGTCAGAAATATTCATCTGACGGCACTCAAACAGACTAAATAGTAATCAGTTTTGTGTCCGTACACAAACACTTAAGTTAAATTCTACCGTAATAGCCATCGCAGATTCAAAATTCAGATTTTTTCTTGCAAATCTGAAATTTTTTTCTGCAATTTATAATTTTTCCTTTTTTTCTGCAATTTATAATTTTTAGTTCTCACAATAGGTTTAACAACTGATTTCTTTTCTCGCAATTGCGAGTTTATTTCTTCCGATTCTGACTTTTTTCTGTTTATATATTGTGATTCTGACATTTTTCTCACAATTGCGAGTTTATATCTTGCGATTCTGACTTTTTTCGCAACTGAGTTTTTATATCTTGCGATTTTCTCACAATTGTGAGTTTATATCTTGCGATTCTGACTTTTTTCGCAACTGCGAGTTTATATCTTGCGATTTTCTCACAATTGCGAGTTTATATCTTGCGATTCTGACTTTCTCACAATTTCGAGTCTATATCTTGCGATTATGATTTTTTTCTCGCAATTGCGATGAGTACTGTTGTCAAAAGTACCAACTTTGGTACTGAAATCTTACAAATGTAATACCAGCATTTCCCTCTAGCATTTAGACAACACTAAATGAGAGTTACTGTCTCTCCCAAGTAGTTTTTGTAAATTCAGAAATGAGCTCCCATCTAAACAATGTATATGAAGGTTTACTGCAGAATTAATCATCTGACAGTGCTCAAACAGACTAAATAGTAAATAGTAATCATTTCTATTTGTGACCGTATACAAACACTTAAGTTATACTCTCAATGTCTTAAGAAATCCCATAATGGTAGCCATTCAGACACTGCAGACATAACAAACGGCTCATTAGATATGAGAAGACAGAAACAAGAGGCTGTTTTGATTGCTCTCCATGTCCCAATCATATAAACGGCCTGCAGACAGACACAAACACAGGACGGAGAAACGTGCCCTCGCTTCTGCTGCCGTAACTGCAGCTCTGCACCACTGAGACAGTTATATAACCTGTCGAAAGCAAGTCGCGTGGAACAGAAGAGAGATAAGAGATACGTATACTGAACTTGATTCATAAATCCTGCGGCTCAAATGCAGTGGAAGTCCGAGACGAGTCCCATTCTAGCATGTAAAAAAGACATTACCAAACAGAACTTTCTTTATAGAGTTGTATTGAAGAACTGATTGATGTATATTAGGTCTATCATTTTGTATACACAAATATTGAAAATATTGGCCTTCTAGATTGATCAAAAACATGGTTTAAAGGAGCCGGTCTCAAAACCAGATCAACTCTTTTTTTTTATATATTAATTAATTGCAGATGTGAGCGTTCACATGAACACACTAGTAAGGCAGTGTATGTATGCCATTCTTGTTATGAAATTATTTGACCTTAACTGTTTTTTTTTTCAATTAATATCTCAAAATTTGAAGAAAAAAGGTCAGAATTGTGAGATAATCACAATTGCAAGATATAAACAAAGAATTGCGAGAAAATGAGTCAGAATTGGGAATTGTAAAATCAGATTTTATATTTTTACACGTTTCCTCATAATTTTGAGATATAAACTCACAACTGCAAATTATAAAGACCAAATTCAGAGAAATAAAGTTATGTTTTATGACTCACAATTCTGACATAATTTCTCACAATTCCAAGTTTATAATTTGCAATTCTGATTGTTTTCTCAGAATCGCGATTTCATGTCTAAACTAGGAATTGTGAGAAATAATGTCAGAGTTGTGAAATATTTACATAATTGTGAGATAAAAAGTAGTTTTTTACTTTTTAATTATGTGGCAAAAAACAATCAAGATTCAATAACAATCAGATTCGAAACTGAAAAAAAAAAAAACCCTCAGTAATAAAGAGAACAAACCAAATAACATAACAAAAAATATTTTTACTAAAACTGAACATTTACAGATTTAATTTTCCCAGACAAGCCATACATATTCCACACCAGCCTAAACACAAAGCTTTACACGCACGCACACACACGTTTTGTTTGTTTGGAACACAACAGCGTCAGAGCAGGTTCTGTCAGATAGGCCATGATTTAGACGGGTTCACCACATGCTTTTAATGAACTCAAGAGTTTCACAGGAAGGAAAAGGTAAAAAAAAAAAAATTCACATCATTTTGTCCCTGACCGAGAAGCAGCATAATTGCAACCCACGTTACCAGCCCCTCTACGCCCCATAACATAAAACTAACTAACAAAAATGAACCATCCACCTGGGTGTAGGGCCTGGATCCAGTGAAATCCACTGTATTAGACACGGTACTACCCATTCTGACAGGGTCCAGTGTAGTGACCACGCATCACTTCCTGGCCGAACCCAGAAGCAGAGAGATCATATAGTGGAGCGAACATTAGCTCTGAGCTGAACCACCCAAACGGCTGCAGTAGACGCTTTTCAATCGGATTTTTTTTCGTTTGCTGTTTTAATTTGTCTGAGAAAGTGTTCTTTAAATGCAAAAGAAGACAGGAGGAGATTGTTCCACTTCTCTCACTTGATGCCACCCTTTTTCTTCTTCTAAACTTCAATGTTGTTGCCGGCATAAAGCCTGGTCCATGTTCGGGCTGCGAGAGAAAATAACAACGGTTAAACAACAAAACAAATGTCGTGCACTTTTTACCTTCTGCGTCTCATTGATTGTCATTGTTTTATTAAATCCAGCAAACAGGGAACCGATCAACGCCATCTAGTAATGTTCTCAAAACGTTAGCACACTATTTATTAGGGATGTCCCGATCCGATACTCAGGATCGGTATCGGCTCCGATCCAGCCATTTTTGCGGGATCGGGTATCGATCAGACGAGGCCGATCCAAATCCGATATACTATTATGTTATTGTTAAGCCCCACAGAAGGCACAAAAACATTCTAAAGTACCATAACGTTTTCGTGCACTCTATTATAAGTGTTCTGAAGCCATAATGTGTGAGAGAAATTAATATTTAAGTCATTAAATTCAAGATCACATAAACTTTTTCCTCTCGCGGCTGTCAGTCATTCTCCATTCAGCACTCAAACAGCGCGTCGCGTTCGGTTACAGTCAACGATGATACTATCTTCAAGATGATTCAATGTTAATACTATTATACTTTATCTGTAGATAAAGGTCTACGTTTTCCCATAAAACAACATTATCTTGCTGGACTTTATTCCTGTAACTATCGTGTTACTTCCTACCATGTGTCGGACGCTGTCAGTTAGATCACCTCACCAGAGTCAGAGCACTATTGTTCTTCACGCGCATAGTAACTGAAATTTAAAACTGTTTAAAGAAAAGGCTCAATAAACTATTGTATAGATAGATACTGTTTAATACACTGTCCATCAATATGTATTTCCTTTGTGTTTTTAACTTTTCAAAGCGGACTCGACGCGCAGCATGCATAGGGTGCATACTCGGCTGCGTGCTGCTGTAACTCCACGTGGTTTCAAGCGCATCATTCTGCGCTCGGAATGCGCATAAGCGCTTTGTGCCGCACTGTGTTGGAGTCATTCATATCATAATGCAGTGACGTAATTAAAGCTTATTAACATTAATAATTATTAATGTTGCTGCCTCATTAAATAGCTGTGCTATACATTTAATGTCTCAATTTTTTAGTATATAAAAAATATATAAAATAATTACTTGGCTATATATAAAATAATTATCTTTTTCATTTTTGTTATATTGTTTTTCATGAATGTATTTTACAACAATACAAAGAGCAATATGTATTATTCACTAATCTAGTTTATAACAGCATTTGTTGTCATAGATTATGATCATATATTTTGGGGATTTGTTGTTTATCTTTATAATGAAGCTGTCTGTATTAAGTAGATTGTGTTTAACACACACAAGAGTGATAATCAGTTTAACACACAGTTATAGAAATTCTACTTGCTTTAAAAAAACTGTACTGCTATTTAAAATGTAGAACACTGCTGTTTAAATTGTTTTAACTTTAAACCTGTTGGTAGCTAGCTCGCTTTAAGGTCTGAAGTACCTGCATTTTCTTTTATATATATATATATATATAGTGTTTGAATAAAGGGTGGGATGTGAACTATATACTGGAGGTATATTTTAAGGGGCTAATTGAGAAAATTGCTATATTTTTTATTAGTTTAAAAATAAAATAAAAATATCGGATTAATATCGGTATCGGCAAAAGCCAAAACTGTGGCATCGGTATCGGAAGTGAAAAAGTGGTATCGGGACATCCCTACTATTTATATATTGTTCATTGATCTTGGACGTTCCTCTCACATTTTTTAAATGTTACTGCTTGTTTCGGAATGTTCGGAGAAAATTTAAAAGTAACATTCCGAAAATGTTTGCAAAATGATCAAACGGAACGTTCACTTAAACGTTCGAATAACCAAGAATTATTTTTAAATATGGGAGATTTGAACAGAAACCAACCACATTTGAATACTTAATTGTGTAAGTAATTTAATATAACCAATGCTTTGGCAATATAATTATTATTCTTTACCATATCAATAAATTTAAAATCTTGAAAAGCAATTAATATCATATGTACTTTATTTGGGTGAATCTCCTGCAATCTCATTTTTCCAGCTCCTCAGCACATCATTCCAGCTTGCTGAACACTCTGTGAGTGACTCCAAGACACCTAATCACCAGATTCTTCCCACCTGGTGACTAACTAGCTGACTGCAGATAGGCACCACCTCCAGCACCAGGAGGGGCGGGGTCTGCAGCTCAGCTCAACAATACCTATCAGTAAAATCCAACTAATTGGAATGACAAAAAACTTGTTTTCCTGGGTGAAATGTGAGCTGAACATGTTTTTTTGTGTGAAATTCATCCACTTTACTACCAAAAATAGCATAGTAGTTATATAGGCACAATAACGCAGTCCCACAGATCTCACCGGTTTCAATGGCTTGAGCCTCGTTGCTCTTCCACTGTTCAGCTACATCATTGGCCAGCGGGTCATCCGGGTTCGGGGCGCTGAGGAGAGCTTGAATAGAGAGAAGCACTGTACGGATCTGGAGAGCTGGAGACCACTTATCTACGAGAGAGGAAGACCGGATCATATTTGACACCTCTAAATGATCAACAGGATCAAAACTTTGCTGAAAAAGCTGTCACACACAATCTCCAACTTATAGCAATTATGCATATTATATCATCAGATGAAGCACCTTTCAGGATGTCCAGACAGATCCTCCCCAGTTTGTCCACATTGGGGTGGTAGATTTTGGTCATGAATCGGACCTTCGGGGCAGCCATGGGATATTCCTCCGGGAGGAACAGCTCCAGTTTGAACGTCCCACCCTCGAAGGGTGAATCCTGCGGGCCGGCGATGACCACGTGGAAATAGCGAGCGTTCCCCTCATCCGGCTCTGCTTTGATCCCAGGCACGGGCTCTGCCATCAAGCGCTGCGTCTCCTGTGGAGGGACAAGACACCGCAGGCTCATGGGTTCGAATGCATCAATGGATAGCATAAAAGCATCTGTCAAATGCATAAATGTAGGGGGACCATATTGTGATGACCAAAAACCAGGACACTAGGCCCGGCAAACAGACGGTCAAATGATACTCGAAGTTTACTCAAAGATGCCTTATTAATTTCAATGCATGTAAAGTAGGCTATGCCTCTGTACGGATGGAAAAATTTTATATTACAAGACACAAATTCAGACAGGCTTCTCAGAGGTTACTCAACATGTGTTATTATGACGGCTTTCAAAAATAATCAATGAAATAATAATAGAAATTATGTCTCTTCTTTCTATAAATAATAAATACCTCCAAACTGAACAAAAATAGCTCTCACAAATGAACTAACAAAATGTATTTCTATCTTTAGTTTTCTTCCTCTTTATCCTGTTTTTCTTCCTCATCCTCCTTGTCTGCCCATCTATATCTTTCCCAGCAGTTTTTTGGAAACCCAGGACATGTCCTGTTGGTCACCCTAATAAATGTGGATGTAAGAATTCAGATAAAGCTTTATTGGGTTTATTAAACCGCATCAAATGTTCAGGGGCACTTAGTAGCAAGCTAACTATTTCCCAGCTAACATTTTTTGGTCCCCAGAACGTTCAAAGATTTATTTTGTTTTAACATCTATTTTGCCTATTGTCAACATTGTTGCTGCTGTTGCTTATAAATTATATGTATAATTTAGATATAAATTATATAATGTAATAATATAAATGTTTTTATTGTAATCTGAAGATTTAATTTAACATGAAAGAGGAGTGATTGTTATAAATAAAATGGTTTGTTCAGTTCATTTGTGTTGTAATAATTGTGTCAGTAGTATAAGAAGTATAACAGTAAATAAATATCGGGTTTTGCAAATCGGTTATCGGGCACATAAACATGCAAATAATCGGTATCGGTTATAAAAAATCAATATCGGTCGATCACTAGTTTTTTGCTGGGATTTCAACAAGCAGAACTGTACATTTCGAGATATGGAAATGAATCATGTATAATTTAGTTAATAGCAACCCTTTCAGGGTTTTGTGCACAGCTTTTCATGGACACCACATTTTTGATTTATAGCTGTGTATTAATTTTATAATACATTTAAGAAAAACAAACCCCAAAATGGCACTCTTGGTCTCTTTAATCGTCAGTCAGACTAAGTGTGCGGTTCTTAGTCAGGATAACCGCAGTCTGATCAATCAATCAAGAATGTGACGATGCAAAATGAGGAAGGTATCGGAAATAGATAATCAAATATTTACTTTATAAGTGTGAATTCATTTCCTGATTGCATGTAAACTCACATTGCTCAACAGATCACAGTATCCCACATCCAAATAATAACACTAACACACATTTCTCAAGTGTTTCCCACCGTAGCGCGCGAGATCTGCATCTGTAAACATGTTCATGTGTCATGCAGAGGCTTTAAACACACCCAGAAGCCCTCTGTGACAGGAGCATCGCAGCTCGCTCAGATATCACTGGCTTCTTAACAAACCACACATATCTGACGACATTGGTCCATGTTGCTCTTTCTATGAAGGTTATTTGCGCTTATTTTAGGAAACGTGCATGTTTAAAAACAGTGCGCGCGCGGGAGCCACCCTGCAGCAACGCGCGCTCGGGCCAGCAGCACGTGCCGTTTACGTTTATTTTTAACGCGTAGTTTTTAAAGCGCGTACAAATATCACAGCGGAACATATAAATGAAGCATTATGAGAGTTATACCTTAATAATTCTGCGGGGCAATCCAGCCATCTTGTTTTATTATTGCGGTTCACACCGTGGCCCGCTCCCTACTCCTCGCGTTGAGGTTGACAGCGCATGCGCGCAAGTCTTCCGGTGTACATGTCACCATCCGCTCCAATGGGTTTTCCGGGAAATGTAGTTTTTTACCTTTTCCCTTGGAAAAAACCTTTATTATATCATCTGATGTATTCCCTGCTTTTTAAAAAATACATGTTAATTCATTAAATTGGCATTTTATTGATAATTTTATTTTATATGCATGTCCTGATTATTTAGTTGTTGTTTTTTTTACTTAATTTTATGCAAAGCACAGTGAATTACCATTGTGTATGTGCTATATAAATAAATCTGCCTTGCCTAAATAAACGATCTAATAATTTGATCTTGTTACAAACAAAGTATGTTCATACTAGAGTGAAGTAATATCAGCACTCCATATTAAAACATTAAATTGCTTTCAAGTCAATCATTTTAAAAGTTCCCGTGAAGAAATAATAAAACACAACACACTGCAGCAACAGCCGAAGGAAGGGTTTATTTCATGCACAGCAGAATTCAATTCAAGACAGGAAAACCATCCAGAACTATCGGTCTTTGGGTGGATTTGGGTTTCTGCGTCTGGTGTGATACCTGAGGAAGAAAACAAATCCGTTCATACACACAGAAACCGCATTTTCTGCACCTGAGCTCTATTGCACAGAAGGCAAACTCACTGTCCGACGGGATACCAGCGGTGTTTGGTGGTGTAGAACATCTTGCTCAGTTCCTCGATGGTCGGGGCTTGTTTGTTATTTAAAACCTCTTTACCGAGTCTGGCTTTCAGCACCTGTTCATGAGTCTCTGCGGGATCACTGATGGCGTCGGGTCTGGCAATCGGCTGCAACAAACACACAAACATCACTATACAAAAATATTGTGCAAAAGTTCTTTTCCTTCAGTAATTCAACTTAAAAGGTGAAACTAATATATTATATAGACTCATTACATGCAAAGTAAGATATTTCAACCTTTATTTATCATTTTGAAGATTACAAATTCTGAATTAGAATATTGTGAAAAGGCATAATCATCAAAATTATAGCAAATAAAGGCTTGAAACATCTCACTTTGCATGTAATGAGTCTATATAGTATATTACTTTCACCTTTTAAGTTGAATTACTGAAAGAAATTAACTTTTGCACCATATTCTCATTTTTCAAATTTCACCTGTATAACATTACACAAACATTTCAGCTCTTCTGCACATGCATGAGGATTTTAGTGAGTTTGCACCTGTGTGAGCTCATAGGGTACGTCTTCTGTCGGATGGTAACAGACTATTGTGTTTCCATCGGATGTCACGGCGATTTCCACATTACTGAAACACAAATGAAACATTTTAGGTAAACGGCTCATTATGACCAACAAATCACTTTATCTGATAGAGACGATGCCTGGCGTACAATAACAATATCATAATATATATATATATATATATCAAAGGCGAACAATTAAATGCGCATTTATGAAAAGTGCCATTTTGTAAATAAAGTGGTAAATTATATATTTTTTTTGGCCAAAAAGCACTTGTGTCACTAAGGTTAAACCCATTTTTTACAGTCTATGGTTAAACCCCTTGAGACACATGAATTACTTATAATAATGTCTTAGTACCGTACTGTTCAAGGGTTTGAAAGTGGTAGTTGAGTAGACTGTCAATGGAGGGCCAGAAACCTTCAGATTTCATCAATAAGATCTTCGTTTGTGTTCCGAAGATGAACAAAAGTCTTACGGGTTTGGAACGAGTAAGTTAAATGATGACAGTACTTTCATTTTTGGGTGAACTATCCCTTTAAATAATAAACACTGACCTTTTGTCGTCACTGAATGGACCTCTAACTGTAGACTTGTTGTGAGATGACAGACATATTCCTGCTTAGAATGAAAAACAGTCCATTTTAGTACCATCTTATAACCTCTGAATTGACTGCATACTCATTAATACGGTCTGGAAATGTCACAGTGTTGTAGGTTAAACAGGATCACACAGTGCTTCACTGTGAGTGTGTTAGCAGCGGCTACATTTCAGATTATTAATAAACAAAATGTTTGTTTGTTTTTTGTAGGAGAGAGCTCACCTCTGATTTGTTTGATATTTCTGCAAGTATAGACTCGGTTAAACAGGTTAGCGATCCTGCTGATGTGACCCGACGCCATGCTTTCCGTTTTGAACTCAATCAGAGGAAGAGAAATTACAGACAAGACGAGTCCTGAGTGGGAGGAACACAACAGTTTTGTGACGTTTGCGGTCTGTATAACTGAATTAATCCGTGTTTTTATTCTCTTTTATGCGTTTCGTTTAGTTTTGTGGTTATAATACAAATTGTCCAGCAATTCGATTTAAGATATGCCATGAGATTTGAATGAAGTTCAACGAGGAATTCAGTCATTTGAACTTTAGAGCGCCTACTACCGGTAATAATCAAGTGTGTTACACAAATATTCTTCCGGGTAGGAACGATAGACAGATCGACAGACAGGGATAGACATTCATAATTTTATGAAGAATTGTTTTAAAGGGCGTAAAATAATAATAATCTTTAAACACCTACAGTACCACAATTGCCCACTGAATAGCAGCAAAATAGAGACAATTCATATTTCATATATGTTTTGTTTCCCCAATGTCTATTAATTTCTGAAAAAGTCTAAATCAAGAAATACAAAGACAAGCAGTTCTCTGGGATTCCACAGTTTTATTCATTGTTATTGATATAGCAACTGCAATTTCATTATCCCAAAAAAGGGAAACCAATATTACAAATTATTCATCATAATTATTCATACACTTCCTAAAAAGAGGAAATATGGAAAGAAAGTGAAATCTGCAAGCTTAGAGGAGATATTAAAATTCCCTCTTAAAGGAAACTACAGTCTGTTCGGTTTCAAACAGCAAAGATCTGATATCGATGTGTGTGTATGTATGTATCTATATATATATATATATATATATATACACACACACACACACATATATATACACACATGCATACACATATATATCTCAGATATCTCATATATCAGATAAACACATTGAGAATCTTTTCATATTGCGTCATCTGATGGCATAAATATGTTCTGCATGTTGACAGTGGCAGTGATCCATGATCCATTGATTCAGTCTCTGGTTATGTTTGTTGTTATGAAACCTCCATGTGACTCCCTGACGCTCCAGAGACTGTATCCGCCACCAAACGCTCGCGACTGCCGAAAACCTCCGCAACTGGAGACACAACAGAATACAGTGAGCAACACATGAAGAAAAGCCTGATGGCTGGAGACTCATACACACACACACACACATATATATATATTTATATACCAGCAGCGACGTCACTGATGTCCCAGACGCGCAGTCCGTCTCTCTGTCCCCCGAATGCATAGACGAAGGGAAGATCCGGACAGCAGGAGCCGCAGAACAACACACCCTGACAGAGAGAGAGTCCTGTGTTAAAGGTGCAGTGTGTAATATTTAGGAGGATTTGTTGACAGAAATGCAATATCATAACATAACTATATTTCAGTGGTGTATAAAGACCTTACATAATGAATCGTTATTATGTTATTGTCTTAGAATGAGCATTTGTGTCTACACACACCGCTGGTCAACTTATATTGATATTTCCTACGGTGGCCCTAAACGGACAAATGCGTTTCGTCACTGTGTTGTTCTTTGTGCAAAGAAGCGAACTAAAGTCAGATGAACACAATGATCACGTAACAATAATACGTTTTACTGAATAATTAAGTAAACAATTTCTTAATTTATCTTTGTAAAGAAACCTCATTGCTTAATTGGCTACTCTGCTGTCTCAGACAACACCACTAAATGCTGCTGAAAACCCCACACTGCACCCTTTAAAGCCTGAGAGACAGTCGTGTGTTAGAGCTTCACAACAGAACAGATACTCACCATCTTCATGTCTCTGGAGTGGATCAGGTTGGGTTTGTCTCCGAGAATGTCCCAGATCTTCACGTGTTTGTCCGCTGAGGACGTGACGAGACAGCCTCGGATCTGACTGCTTAGGTCCATCCCTGCGGCACAGTCACACCAGGGTCACTTTCTGCTCTTATTTGTAGATTTTATTTTAGTTAAAACATTTTAGTTGAAGTACACCAAGTTAAAAGAAAATAAGAAGTGTTGCATAAATAATGTAAGTTTGTTTTTTTTTAATATTTTTTATTTCAGTAAATGTATATACTATTAAGAGTATTCATATTTATCAATAAAATAATAAAATTACAATAAAACAAGATAGTTTTTATTAATATTGAGGATATTTAGTTTCTTTTTATTTGAACGTTTTAGGTTTATATATATATATAAAGTATATATACACACACATACAATTTGAATATTTTTTTTCTGGTTTCATTTTTATATTTTTTCTTAAATATGTCTACATCGCTTTTAATTTTTCTTTATACAGTATAGGTTTTATTTGTTTATTTTCATTTATTTGTATATTTTTTTATTGTTAACTTTTAGTTTTAATTTGAGATATTTTTTTAAATATTTTGAATAAGTTTTATTTTAAAATGTTCTGTTTTCATTTTAATTTGAAGGTTTTTGTTTCCTCTTTTTATTTTTGTTTTGTTTTAAACTAAACTGAAAAAAGTTTTTCATAATCCATTTTATTTCAGTCAATGCTTATTTTATTAAAAAAAATGTTATGATTTCACTTTTAGTTAATGATATTAAATAGTTATATAATAGTTGATATACAGTTATTGTTTTTATTTTACTTATATTTTAATTCAAGTTATTTTACTTTAAGTCTTTTAGTCAATGTTTATTTGAGGTTATTTGAGCGACTGTACCGACCTGAAACCTCCCCGTCATGCGCTCTCAGCGTGAACACGGCTTTATCCGAGCGAGCGTCCAGACAATAAATGAAGCCGTCATCTGTACTCGCCTGCAACACACATCACTTGTTACTCCAGGTCAAAGTTCACATTAAACATCAGTTTCTCAGGCTCAGTTTCTCACCAGGAAGTGACACGGAGAGAAATGGTCCCAACAGACGCGCTCCACCTGTCCACTGAAGCGCCAGATCCGATGGCTGTCGTTCGGACTCCGGCAGTCGTACAGAACCGCTGACCTGTGACACACAATGTTCTGATTGGTCAGGCTCATTCGTGCTGCAATCTGATTGGTCAAGTCATACGGCAGTGACATCGTGACCTACTTGTCATATGATCCACTGACGAGTGTTTGAGCCTCAAACGGGTGAAACTTCAGCGTCTGAACCTGCGATGGATGATAAGAGCATATGATCAGAATAAACAACTCTCCTGAAATACATGATTCTGATTGGTCAATGGTGTTTGTGAAATGTGTGTGTAAAATAATGATGTTATTTGATAATTTTTCCATAGCTCTGTTAGTTTCACACATCACGTATCTCTTTATAGTCTTGCATAATAAAATCGTTTATACTCTAATCAATGTACACTTACTGATGTATTTGGTGTTTCAACACTGATAATAATGATAAATGAATGAGCATCAAATCCTCATATTAGAGTGATTTCTGAAGAATAATGTGATACTGAAGACTGGAGTAATGATGATATATTCAGCTTTGATCACAGGAATAAATTACACTTTATTATATATTCATATAGAAAACAGATGTTTTAAATTCTAATAATATTTCACTATTTTTACAGTATTTTTGATTAAATAAATGCAGCCTCGGTGAGCAGAAGAGACCCTGGCGTGTGTGTTTGTACCTTATCCGTGTGTTTGGTGAGGGTCGCCGCTGGTTTTCCCTTCTCCAGATCCCACAGGATCACAGTCTCATCCGCAGACGCGCTCGCGAGAACATTCCTGCAACACACACACACACACACACTCCATCAGTCACAAAGACAAGCACTTCAGGAGAAGGTTCAGGAAAGCTTGAGACACGTCACCTGACCAGCCGGTTCCAGGACAGATCCAGCACAGAATCCGAGTGTCCGTCGACGGGCTCCGCCGCCTGGGAAACAGATCCACTTAAAGGGTTAGTTCACCCAAAAATGAAATTTGTGTCATTAATGACTCTCCCTCATGTCGTCCCAAGCCCGTCAGTCCTCCGTTCATTTTCAGGACACAGTTAAGATATTTTAGATTTAGTCCGGGAGCTTTCTGTTCTCTGATGACGAGGGCGGGGCTTAACCTGTCACTCGCATGAGATCAGCCAATAGCAAACCACAGCCATCCAATCAATTCCCCACGGACAGAATCAAGCCCCGCCCACATTCGTTCTTGTTCGAGAAGCGTTTCACTCGGATTTATGGGACAACAGAGAAGAAAACCTGTGCAACTTCAGCCATGCCGACTTTAATCATATAAGCCACCTCTGTTTTTATTGTTTTGTATAACATTACATCATCAAGTGAAAATAAGTGTTTCTAACGTTAATATAAATGATATTAACCAGTTGGATGATTAAATGCACTGCTTTCACCTTCTTTGCTTTCTTCTTCTTCTTCTTCTTCTTGCTGCCGAGGGAGAAAGCCGGCTCTAAACAGTCCACGACATCCAGATCCCAGACGTCGATCACCGGCGTCATGTTTCCCACCGCTGCGTAATTCCCTGGAGAATAACATCAACACACACTCTTATCACACACTTTACCCCCTTCTTTTTCAATCCTTTAAACCCTTTCCTGCAACACAAGATATTATTATAATCAAATCCTCACCGTGTCCTTCCTCTGGGTTGGGGTCAAAGTTCAGCCACTCCACACACAGCGGATACGCGGGCAGCAGGACGTCATGATGCACGTACAGAGAGTCCTCCTCAGAGTTATACACTGAACACACACACACACAGACGAGATCTTCAGGGTTATTATATAACTGGAACAAAAAATGTGTTACTTGAAATAAAATACATGTTAACTGTCACTGTTGATGAAGAAACATTAAGTTTAATATCATGAATATCAAATTAATAAAATTAATATTAATAAAAGGTCTAATTTCTATGTGGTTTCACTTCAACTCAAAAAATAGATTTTAGTAATCGATAACATTAATATAAACATTTACCTTTTCCATTTAGTTCAACTTGATATAAAATTAATAAATAGATTTTTTATGAATTCATAAAAAGTTAAGATTAAAAAAAATACATAAATTATATAAATTTCTCTTTTTTAATTTTAAATTCATTAATTTGACTTAATTAAGAAACATTAAATGAAAAACTACATAAACATTTCTTATTTTCCATTTAATTTAACTTGATTAATATCAAAATTAAAAACATTTATTTTTTTCGAAGAATTAGATAAATAAAAATTTAATAAATAAACATTAAAAAAAAGAGAACTAAAATAATAAGACAAAACATACAAGAAAATTACTTTAATAATTATCATTTTTAAAAGGAAAACAGAAAATAGAAATATTAAAGAAAAACTGTAATGGCATCTGAATGATCGTAAAACAACACCGTGTGTGTATGTGTATGTGTCTGTGAGTGTGAGAGTGTGTGTGTCAGGTGTAGGTCACCGTAAACATCCAGGTTACAGCAGTCTTTCTCAGCTCGTCCTGCTAGAATCAGGTTATCTGAGGATTTAATCTGAAAATCCTCTCGCTCGTACTGATCCTACAAAACACAGCGCTGGTCAGATGTAAACACACACACACAACCCTGAAACGATGATCGATCAAATCAACTGAAAACACAGAGAATAGAAAGGAGCGAACGCAGACCTCCAGAAAGTGTGTCATTCATCAAGTCAGTGTGTGTGTGTGTGTGTGCGTTTCCTCACCGTGTCTTTGAGGGTGATGTACGGGTCTTCTTCATTGGTGCCAAACACTGTCAGTCCTGCCAGACTGTCTCCAAGATTAGATGTCGCTGCACAAGAGAAGAAGAGCTGAAAATCATCAAATCATCAAGCCAGGATATTATTTACAGTAATATAACACTTGTGTTAGTTCATCTGAAAAAAGAAAGTCGTATACACCCAGGATGGCTTGAGGGTTATGGGATCACTTTTGGGTTTAGGGCAGATAGATCAGTCAAGGGAAGAATAATGTGTGCTCTTCATCACATACCGATGTCTTCTTCATCATATTTGTCTAGTCCGTACTCTGCAAGATCATCCTCTTCCTCGTTCGCATCTTTCTCCTCTTTTATTTCTTCACTCTCAGTCAGAGCTGCTGATGTTTCTTCACTGATGTCCAGACCACCTTCATCAACCTTCTCATCATCATCATCATCATGATCCCTGGAGAAATCACAGAGAAGTTTACTCAAACTAAACAGCTGAACGTAAACAAAATATATATTATATGAAATAATTCTCACTCAAAATTGCTGGAAAATCAAAGCCTAAACAAATATGAAGAGTATATCAGAAAAAAGTTGCCCAGATTAAAGTTTTTAAAGTGAAAAACAGGGTAAAATGGCAATTACACTGGTGGTTGACAGGGTAATATTGACAATATTACTGTTACTGTTTACCAGTTTTAAATTGTAACTTATCTCGTTCATAAGGTAGCAGGTGTCAGATTCAGTCTGAGCAGGTAAAACTCACTGTAACTCATCTTTAGCCTCTGATATGATGCGTTGTAGCTCTTCTTTGCTCAACTCCACCTGAAATAAAGAGTTTATTCGAGTTACACGTGTGCGATGCCACAGAAACAAGCGGTCTAAACTCAATCACGTGACAGACTCACCTTATCAGGCGTTTCTTTAGCGATGCCCCGCTTCACCCAACCGACACACGTTATTTGAGAGCTCATGGTTGATTTGTACAGATTTATAATGATAAAACACAACACACGAGGATTCCCCGAGCTGCAGTTGTCAGCACGACGCACAGTGATGACGTCACAGTCGTGCCAGGCCGCAGAAATAAAATTGCCTAGAGCGGAAAGTTGCGCTAGCATGTTATGTGTGCTAGTAACAGGATAGTTCACATAAAAATAAAAATACAGTCATGATTTACTTGATCTAATGTTGTTTCAAATCTGTATGAATTTCTATCTTCTGCTGATCTAAAAAGAAGATATTATGAAGAATGTCGGCAAGCAAACTAACTTGTTTTGTTTAACCCTAAAACTGTATTCTGGACAAATGTGGGCAAAATAGTTTTGATTTATTTAAAAAAATACTTCCCTTGATCTGAACGGTACAAAGACTTGGCTACTTTTCCTAAGTTTGCCTCCTGAACACACACATTTTTTTTTTTTGTTTTTTTGACTCAATTCTACAATGTTGGGTGAAAAAAACCCCTCCTTAATCTTGTATTTGTGTCAAAAATGGGCACCCATAGAAATGAATGGGAAAAACTGTAATTTACAGCATTCTAAAATAAGTCAAAATAAGACACCACAGGAGGGCGTTTTAAATCAAAATTTAAACAACAATTATACTACTAAATACATAAATAAAAGGGGCCATGTGTTTCATATGATAACGAACAATTGAAATCAATGTAAAATAATGTAATGCAAAGTTTTCCTCTGACTTGAGTTAACTAGAATTGAATCATATCATAGGTAGAAATAATTAACAGGCCTGTAATTCGCATTAATTCACCACAGTTCGATCATTAGACTTTTTAAAATTATATTATGTATTTGTTTACAAACGGGGGCAGTATATACACAGAGAATGATACAATCAATTTTTCATGATTTTCCCTTGGGTTATACATCCAATAATATATTTCATTTTAAAACTACATGTTTGCCAGATGTTTTGAATGATCTATCAAATGATTTTAATCAATACAAATAATTTAATAAAAGGTTTTTAACAGAAATTAAATAATTAACAGCAGTGTAATGCACATAATTCACCACAGGAGGGCGTTTAGACGCGAGTCTTTAAATTGATATTACAGATATAAGAATATATTTCCACTAAACAAAAGCGAACTTTTCTAGATTTGTTACTATGTCGCGTTAAATTAATAATTTATTAAATAATGTGAAATAAATGCAAAGTAAGTGCAGAGTTTTCCTCTGGCGCTCTGAACTGTATGTGAACATGGTTAAACTTATGCAGGCACGTGTGTGTGTGTGTGTGTGTGTGTGTGTGTGTGTGTGTGTGTATTTAGTTATAAATATGTGCTGTGTAAGTTAGCCTATAATACTTTTGGAAATTATAACTTAAAACAAAAACAAATAATAACCCATATAGATAAAGTATAATAATTGTATAACATGGATAATTAGCACTTACTATAGGCTACATTGTAAACATTAGGAATGGAATGCATGATTGTGAACATGTGACACCACATTGTTTATTACCACCTCTTTATATAAATCATGTCACATGTGTGCTAGCTCATCAGTGTTGCTCCACACAGGCCTGCGCTTCTCCAGGAACGCCCTGACGCCCTCCTGCCCGTCCCGCAGCGCCAGGTTCTCCACCATTGCAGCAGACGCACAAACGTACGCCTCGTCCCGGCCCTCGGACATCTGTCTGTGAAACACACTCTTCCCGAGAGCCACCACGGGCCGGCTGCACTCACACACACGCCTGGCTATGGCCAGCGTCTGCTCCTCTAACTGCTCCTCACACACCACTTTACTGAGGAGCCCGTGAAGAAGAGCGTCCTGAGCCGAGATGGGGCGGCCCGTCAGCAACATCTCCATAACCACCTGGAGAAGACGGAGACAGGGGTCAAGACTCATACTTGCTGAAATTCATTACTCTAAATATTAGCAACTTGTGTTTTAAAAAAACAATTATCAGTTTACAGTCAAATTGTAAATGATAACAGTCTTTTTTTAAATAATTGGTTAAAATAATATTATACTAATCATTAGTTTCATTGTATGGTTTGATAATAGTATCAAATGTTATTTTTTATAATACAACCGTAATTTTTCAGTCTTCTTGTTTATTAGTTTAAATAATAATGATGTTATTATATGGTTTGATAATGTTAGAATTATTATCAATCAAATATTCCCATTTTAATTTACAGTAAAATTACAATTTACAACAGTAATATATTTTCGTCATTTTTATAATTGGTTAAAAGAATAATTATTTTTTGTAAATAATTACATTATTATTTTGTTTGATATTATAATTGTCAGATATAATTTTTTACTAATTTAAAACTAATATTTCAGTCTTGTTTATAATTGAGTTCATATTAAGTTTGGTCAATAATAATTATAAATATGGTTTGATTATTTTATAGTACAATTTTAACAGCATAATTTAATTTTTTTAACAGCAGAGTATTTCAGTCTTGTTTTTATAATTGGTGTTATAATAAAAAATATTGATTTTTACAATAAAATTGTACTTTTTTTCAACAGTAATATAAAAGTTAAAATAATGTTAATAACAATAAATCATTATTTGGTTCTATTATATTTGATAATATTATAATTTTTCAATAATAATAATTAAAAATATATTTTTGCAGTGCAATAATCATTTACAAAATCATTATTTTTATAATTAGTTATAAAATAATAATCATTGTATTATTATGCCTATTGTTATTTTGTTAGTATTAATTATTATTAGTGCTGTCAAATTGATCAATCGCAATTAATTGCATCTAACATAAGTATAAATATTTAATATATGTATGTGTGCGTGTATATAAACTTTTATGTTGTATGCGATTAATCAATTTGACGACACGATTATTAATGCGTCCTTAAACTATTATTTCTTTAAAATATGATCTTCTTTAGGCCCATTTAAAGTGTTAGTGAAGGTTTTCTGACGACCCTCGTTTAATTAATCGTTGCGACGCCCTAGAGGAGGATCACCTTTCTGGGCAGCGCTCGCCCGATGGCCACTGCCGGCGTGGAGCAGAACAGTCCGACGCTCACGCCAGGAGTGGCGAAAGTGGATTTATCTGTGGCGACAGCAATATCACAGCTGGCAACTAACTGGCAACCCGCCGCCGTGGCAACACCGTTCACCATAGCGATGACCGGCACCGGGAGATCCTGAATCAGGGTCATGACCTTTGAGAAAGTTAGAGTTATTCAAATGCACTGACCATATACTGTAAAACAAGATGGACTTCCCTCTCTAATATGGTGCAAAGATTTAGGACCTGCATCTGCGCAGTAGTGTGTGTGTGTGTGTGTGTGTGTGTGGAGCCGATATATCAAGGTCCCGCACACACACACTCGCAGAAGTGGCTAGTACAAGGTTTACTGTGTGAAATAAACAGTTATGAAATAGAAATTAAAGTTTAAGGAATCATGATGTCACATTCCAGTCTGTATAGCATCAAATAACTAACTAAGACCAAACTTATTTAAAAACATTTAAACTTAAATCATCGTGATAAAAATAAACTACCTAAAATGACAGAAAACATTTTGGAAGAAATGCATTTGACGTGACACACACACACACACTCGGCCCTCTTCTGTTCTGAGGGCTCGTATAGAAACTAAAAAGAAATTCCAGGACTTTTCAAGCTCTACTTTTTTGGTTTTCAAGGACCATAATCAGAGATCACACTTATCAAACAATATCAGGATTATTTAAACTTAAATTACAGATATAAGGTATCCAAAATACAACTTTAAGTACAATGTAATAGTCTTTATATATATATATATATATTAAATACAATGTTTATGATGGCTATTCTTTTTTTAATAATTATTTGATATTATAATCTTGGTGTACTTCGTATCGAGGAGTTGTGATGGGGGTTTATCATTTTGCCTGAATATGTTGTATTTGTTCTTTCGAAAACATGTAATTTCATATTTATTGTACTTAAATAAGTCAAACACTTTTCAAGCACTCCTCATAAATTTGGCTGTTTTCAAGGCTTTTCCAGGACTTACATTTCAACAAGTCAAATTCAAGTTCTTTAAGCACCTTGTGTACAGTAAGTGACCTCTGACCTCTGAGCAGGTCTGGAACACCTTGATGTGATGCTCGCGACCCCGGGCAGAGGTCAACTCCCCAAGGTCATGACCCGAGGAAAACACAGGACCCCGTGCTGCAGAGAGAGACAGAGTTAGTGTGTGTGTGTGTGTGTGTGTGGTTCTGAACGCATCTTTCTCTAGATTGACTGAATGTTTTGCCTGATATGATGATGACGCGCAGGTCTGGTGTGTGTGAGTCTGTCAGGAGGTTTTCTCTCAGAGACTCCAGCATAGACAGAGACAGAGCGTTCCTCTTCCTGGGGTTGTTCAGGATAATCCTCCTGAAACACACACACACACACACCAGATCGGATCTGATGCTTCAATCTAAACACTGATTCCTGAATCATAGGGGTGTAACGATTCCCTCATGTCATGATACTGAACGACACAATATTACAGCGATACTCCAAAACATTTGATAAAAGATGAACAAAAAATGTCCTGTTAATCAAAATGTTAATTTGCTATTACATTATGGGTGTAAATGAATAGACTTGGACTTGGTGCTGAAACCCAATGAACGAGACACCAGAATAACAATATTCATGATCCTGAAGCTGAAAATATCATTATTTTAGACGAATGCTTGCACTCTTTCACTGCGTACATTTATTTACAATAATGTATAGGCCACTTTTACTGTAACAACACATGTGGCATTATCAGGACACACTAATATACATTATTATACATTATATACAGTAGTTTAATGGAGTACTGACACTAAAACTCTGAAAACTTGATTGTTTCCCTCACAGTAATTATTATAGTTCTACAACTATGGAATGAAGTGAGCAAGTTTAAGTCCATTCAAGATATTTTTACCTGATGAAATATACAGTGCTCAGCTTTAGTGGGAAAATGCATATTCTCCTCAATAACACACAAAAGCACACAATATTCAACCCTAATAAAGTTGTCAGATGTTTTGCTTGTGCTTACAATCAATTAAAGTCAATGCTTTTGGTTATTTTGGCAATTTTGCGTTGTGCATTATTATCGTTTGGTGTATTTCATTTATTACTGAACAACTGTGGACTATCGGTACATTTATTAATGATAATATCTACCAAATGTAACCATAACTCTTATTTTAGGGCACTATGAATCTGCTTCACCAACCCTTTTTTAATGAATTTCAAAAGAATTTGGACACCATTTCATCTTCAGTAAATAAGAAAGCAAGTAGAACGACTTACATTTGCAGTGCCTTTGATTTGTATACTTTGATGTAAAAAAAATATATTATTTTCGTTTTCTTCATTTATTATGAATTTTTTTTCTGTCGTTAGCAATTAATTCATTTTTTCTTCGGTGTATTACAATGGGTGTATTTTTGTTCAATTTTTTGAATACACAAAAAGTGAGTATTATAAACGTGACAACTTTTTTTAGCCTTAATAAAACAAATAATATCGAGCGATGAGGGTTAGAGGTCACGCTAGAAGTTATCACCTGATTCCATCCTGCTGTTTTCTGACGGTCAGAGAGGAAGAATCGGAGCTCATCTTCCTCATCCAGATCCTCCAAAACTCCCCGCTGGACTTCAGAAGGTTTGACGCTTTGTAAATTCCGCGTACAGTCATATTTAATCACTGCAGAGAAAGTAAATAAGTACGGGGTAGTGAAGACAGTGACTACGCCGGAAGTGAATTTCAGCTGTTCTTCAAAATAAAGGTCTTGTTTTTTTTACATGGAACATTTGCCAACAAATACATCGCGGATCAAAGTCCATATTTTGCTATATTCAACACAAAATAACTTAAAATAACATTAACATGTTATCGCTGCATATTTTATTATGTTGTGACAGTAGGCCATTTATTCGCACGCTTATACATTTTTCTGTTATTAAAACGTCTGAATCAACGAGGCTTTAAAAGAATATTCTTAATCAAACTAGTTTTCCTCTAGAGTTATTGCCAATATTATGAAGCTGCAGACTCGGAGCCTGCATCTACAGTCCCCCAACGAGAGTCCCGCATTCTCAGACCCCTCGTTTTTCGAACACAGCGCCTCCTGCTGTTCGAAAGATCGTATAACACCCGCACACAGAGTACAGCGCATTATCCAAATGCAATTAAAAACAATAGGATGCAATATTACGGTCTTCAAATAAATTATCCAATAAATATTTGTGTTCCCTGCTTAATGCATGTGTCAAAAAAAAAAAAAACTAATTGTTACTGATGGAAGGGATACAATTAGCAGATTGAACTATCTTCAGAAAAATAGTAGGCTATATTATATTGCTACAATGTTTTTTTATTATATTTTTTTATTCAAATTCCAATTTTTCTTTCAGTTAAACCTATAATGGTCTAATTAACATTACCATGCTAACATTACAAAATCTGTTTTTTGATATTTTGAATGCGAAGCAAAACAAATCAGAATAGACAAAACACCAATAATAAACAATTCTGTACTTTATTTAATGATCACCTAAACATCATCTTGCTGTAAAGAAAAAAGGAAGAAAAAACAGTGTTTTTGACTTTACTTTTCGACTTCAATTGCATTAAAAAAACTCATTTATAAGTCGCTTTGCATAATCATAAAATGATATGTTGCTGGATTCGGCAGGGGCAACTCCATAGGACCGATAGTACATGTCTTATGATGTTTCAAAAAGACAGAAAAAAGAAAAAGAAAAAATGTTTGCAAATGTTATACCATGTTGCACTTCTCTGTTGAAGTGTCCCTTGAGATGTTTTTGAACTTTGGACAATTTTGTTTGTTTGAAATATATGGGGGCACAAAATGGGCAATGAAAATAACTGCATATTTGACATTTCTACAAAAAGTCCAAGGTTAAAAAGTTAAAGGCTAACGTAATTGTAAGCTATCTAAATATTTTCGGGGAGAAGAGGGCGAAAAAACATACATTAACGGCTCAAATCTTGTTTCAAACTATCTTTACAAATATTAAATGGACTATTCATATGTTGTGTCGATGAGCTAAATTAGTTTTATTAAAAAATAAATCAAACGAGTAGTCTACTACGAATCGCTAAATAAAATTGAAGATAGGCTACTCATGTTTTGTCTTAAGTTCTTCACATGTTCTTCACATGTTTATCCGATACAATTTGATAGGAGGCGCTGTCTCGAAAAACGAGGGGTCTGAGAATGCGGGACTCTGGGTGCAGGGGGACTGTAGATGCAGGTCTCCGAGTCTGCAGCTTCATACTACTCGTTATTGCTGTAGAAAAAATGTTGCAGTGGTGTAATTCACACATTTTACCACAAGGTGGCGTTTTAAATTAAAATTTAAACAACAATTATACTACTAAATACATAAATAAAAGGGGTCATGTGTTTCATGTGATAACGAAAAATTTATTTAATATGAAATCAATGTAAAATAATGTAATGCAAAGTTTTCCTCTGACTAGAGTTAATAAGAATTTAATCATATTATAGGTAGAAATAATTAACAGGACTGCAATTCGCATGAATTCACCACAGTTCGATCATTGGACTTTTTAAAATTATATTATGTATTTGTTTATTTTAACAAAACGGGAGGCAGTACAATACACAGAGAATGATACAATCAATTTTTCACAATTTTCCCTTAGGTTATACATCCAATAATATATTTCATTTTAAAACTACATGTTTGCCAGATGTTTTCAATTGTCTATCAAATTATTTTAATCAATGCAAATAATTTAATAAAAGGTTTTAACATAAATTAAATAATTAACAGCAGTGTCATGCACATACTTCACCACAGGAGGGCGTTTAGACGCGACAACTCCTGCGCAAAATGAACCTTTGATCTAATTACACATTGCTACCTAGTCAACCGTTATCTGAGATCACGACAACATAACAAGGGTCCCTACATTCAAACCGAAGCATTGAGAACTTTGTCAGTGTCCATACAGTTTAATAAGAAGATATTTTATACACACAGTCAACTTCGCGAATACAGGAAGAAGCCATATTTGAAAAATAGTCTCTACCAGTCGATCTACGAGCGCCGATCCAAGTGCGCTGAACTGTGCAGAATATCATATGGTCCGTTGTTTCCAGAAGAAACACAAACCGTTTACTTCTCTTGAATATGTACATGTAGACTACTGTTCGCGCTCACCTTATCACCTTATTCACATCTCACCAGCGCACTTGTTCGCAGATCGGCGTTCGTAGATCGACTGGTCGAGACTATTTTTCAAAGATGGCTTCTTCCTGTATTCGCGAAGTTGACTGTGTGTATAAAATATCTTCTTATTTAACTGTATGGACACTGACAAAGTTCTCAATGCTTCGGTTTGAATGTAGGGACCGCTGTTATGCTGTCGTGTTAGTGTGGGGCTATTTTGAGCCTTTTTAGTGGTAACAACAAGCAATTTTTATTTGTCATTACTCTATGCCCTATATACTAGCATTATACTAGCGTTATAGGCTAAACTGTTTTTAGAGATAAAACTATTTACATTCGGCAATCATTAAAACAAATCTCAGATAACGGTTGACTAGGTAACAATGTGTAATTAGACCAAAGGTTCATTTGCGCCGGAGTTGTCCTTTAATGTATATTATAGATACAAGAATATATTTCTACTAAACAAATGTGAACTTTTGCAGATATTTTACTATCTCACGTTAAATTAATAATTTATCAAATAATGTGAAAATAATGTAAAGTAATTTAGTGCAAAGTTTTCCGGTACAGCAGTGTAATTCACACAGTTCACCACAGGAGGGCGATTAAACTCCATTTAAAAAAGAATATCGCAGATGTAAAATATGTTTATAGAAAATAAGAAGGGTAATTGCCAGATGTTTTACTGCGTCACATGGCAACCAACAATGTATTAAATATTACAAAATATTGTTACTCGAAGTTTTGAGACTGCAGTCTCAGCTGTAGAAATAAGTTGCTGCAGTGTAATTCACACAATTCACCACAGGAGGGCGACTGGCTAAATTGGTTGGTTTAAAGTTTTAGTGCTTAACTTTTTGTGTTCAAAATGTTCAAAGGTTATATAATGAGCGAGTACATGAATCAGTTGTCCAAATCGTGCTTTGTCTTATCCTGAATCACTGTGGTACACCTATAATAAGTGTTTATATTCGGACTATTTTATACTGGTTCTGGTCGTACCGCTGCGGAGTAGCACAGGACCTGCGTGACTCGTCATACATGTTTGGATCTATATTAAATTATACTCTAATTTAACGTTACCTTTGGCTTGTGGAGAGAATAATATTCATTTGAACTATTTTTCATTCACACACCAGAATTCCTGCACTGTCGATTTATCTCTTTCGCTGACTCTTTAAATGTTTGTGGGTAAAATAACAGCAGTGTAATTCACACAGTTCACCACAGGAGGGCGTCCAGATAAAAACAAATTTTCGTCCTACAGATGGTGTGGGTTGTCATTCTATTTGATTAAATATGAGAAGGGGATATTAATTAGCAAAATATATAAATTAAATCAAGTAAACGATCAACATTGTACAACGTAACAATTTATTTTTATATAAAAAATTCTATTGTCAATATGTGAAAATATACGTACATTTGTAAACATTGTATTGTACAAAGAGGTAACACACAAAAAAGGGGAATATTCACAAACATACAGAGCATGATCGAAATGTTAGCTTGACTTTAAAGTTGATAACAATAATAATAAAAAAGTTAATTTATGGCATCTTATGCTCACAGTGTCATGCATGATTCTGATATTACCATAATAAACATTAGTTATAAACACAATATTCATATAGTACTCCAAAGTAGTTTAACATATCCAAAAACATGGTATTACCATTGTAACATTAAGGCACTTTTTGTTAGTATTAGTATATTTTAAAAAGCATTAAATGCTGTTTATTTGATTTAATGTATAAACCAAACATAAAAAACTTGATTTGTCAGCATAATACTTGAGTCATGTAAATCCTTGCATTGTTTTGTAACAGATTTTGCACATTTAGTTCAATATAAGAAGTGATAAAAAATCTCATACTTGTTTTCATAACATGTAATACGTCGGTAACATCTATGGATTGCCAGAACAAAAGCGGTTGTTTTTTCCAGTCGTCTGCAACAAACAAAGAATTATGATAACATATCCCACTTGGGCTATGAAAAAGCAATTTCTAAAAAAATATTAAACCTAGTGGGCTGCACACAAAACCTGTTTTCGAGGCATATTTCACTCGGCACTCGGTCTGGTAAAATGAAAATGACTGCAAACATTCTTGTGCTTGTTTGTTTGAGGTTTAAGACGCATGGATCACAGGGATTAAGGATGGTAAATGTCAGGCTTCACAGCTTCAGGTCCAACTCCGGCTCTTCAACCTCGTTATGAAGCTTCTCAGTGACGGGCTTCATGAGTTCCTTTAACCGTTTCATGTTGGTTTCATGCAGGTCCTTCTGCGTCAGGTAACGCTCCCGTTTGATCTGTTCTTTCAGCGCTTCCGGCACATCCGGGATTATGTAGGACAGGATGAATTTTGTGAAATAAACGATGTGCTGAGAGGAGAACAAAACAGCATATTTAGAAACCTTAAAAACACAAGCAGGTAATCATTAGGCGTATCACATCTAGTCACCCACCTCAACAACAATCATAAAAGCCAGTTTGGCAGCAATAACGTGCCAATAATATATGTTGAACTCGTATGCATTGTGATGATTTGGAGGATTCCTGAAATCTCGATACCTGAAAACATAACAAGAGCAAATGAATACATCTGTCAGTGTTCATAAGATCAACTGCTCTTTGTATTTAACAAACTCATCGTTGATCATATTTAAATGTTGTTTTTTTCCTTTTCATGCTTTAAAATAGCTTGAATGTAACTCGACACCCTTGCCTTGTTTAGTATTCGCGGTTCTATGAATATGCAAATAAGCTCCGCCCCCACTCACTCATACAGGCTCATCCACAAATTCATGTATTAGATTAGATATGATTAGCCTTTTGCTTGACTATGCAGTCAAACAGATTATAATGTGTTGCTAATGTTACACAAAGCATGTTCACCATCTCAGAGTCTAACAACCATCAGTGGAGAAATCCATATAGACCATTTCACAAGATGTAAACAACACTGGTCCAGAAGCACTTCCTGTTTCAGTTTTTAACACTACATAAAAGCTGGGATAAAATACAACCAACAAAACATTTAAAACTGAATCAAAAAGTTAAACAAACAGCTTTAAGATGTTTTCTTTACATGTGAAATAAAGAAAACAGTTACAAACTGAAACAGGAAGTGCTTCTGGACCAGTGTTGTTTACATCCTGTGAAATGGTCTATAGTTCATCATAACATTGTTATATATATATCATACACCCAGTATATTGCTAAATCGACCCGATTTTCCTTATCAACAGAAAAATATATGGGGATAACCTGGCTGCCCTTCTAGTTCGCTGTTAATGATATGCTAAATCCCGCCGGCACGTTGATCTGACGATTTCAAAGCGTGTTTTTGAGAGTGTCTTTGGTTCACTGCAGATTTAAGGAGAAAATACTCTGCAATGCTGTCCACTTATCAACTTGCACATGATTTGCATATTAAAATCAACAACACATAGACATATAAACAACATTAAATAGTTCAGACTAATAGTTAAGATCAATCCTATCCAGATCAATATTACTAGACAAGCTTTTGCTCTTCCTATGCAACTCTATAGAAGTAATGTTAGGGTAGTTTTCTATAAATGACCCAAACATACAGGTGTTGCAGGTCACATATAATGCGACACACTTTTCTAAATGTTTAGATAAATCTATGAAACATGCATTGCTGTGTTTTAAACCACGATTGAGCTGTAATTCACAAATATAACATGCTGTAATAACTGGTGGTGTTTTACAAGCTGACCGGCATGTGGTGATGTTGGGCCAGGTTTCATTCTCTGGTTTGCTAATTTCACTGAAGTCTGAAACGTTGAATACAGAGAGCGAGCTGTTGATGAAGCCGGTCATGGTGTGTTCTGACCCGCCAGAAAACGCCCAGTAATACGTCAGCCGAGGAATCATGTCCGAAGTGAAGGCAATGATGGCAGCCTGGAGAGGAAAACACACACACACACACACACACACACACAGTGAGTGAACATGACCTGAATCACACAACAAGTTGCAAAAACAACTTCTAAATCTTGAGATTTGATTCCGACTCACAAACTTGTGATTTGATTCAATTCTGATCTTGATTCAAATTGAATTGATTCATTTGGAAATGTATTAGCTACAGTACAAGTCAAAGATTTAAAACAATGTAATTTAATAAAATAGCAACTGTTAATTATGTTAATTAAATGGTGGTGGTCATAGAAACTAGTTTTCATGACGGATTTCACGTGCCACATTAAAAAACATCAAAACAACAGTTCTTGATTGAATGTCATAATAAAATGGACAGAATTTGAAAGCAATTTAAAGTAACCTTCTGTATTATCCTTTTATTTCTCACAACTTATTGAATTTTCATGTTTACATTTATTTTTCTATATTTGTTTCTGTCCTTTTTTAAAAAATAAGCTGAAATTGACTTTATTGTCACCACTGGAGTTCCCCAAGGCTCGGTCTTGGGCCCTCTTTTATTTATTATTTATTTGCTGCCCCTTAACTGAAGAAAGTCATGTACATTAGAATTAGAAATTTGAATATCATGCAAAAGTTCAGGTGAAACTAATATATTATATAGAGTTATTACATGCAAAGTGAGATATTTCAAGCCTATTTGTTATAATTTTGATGATTATCGCTTACAGCTTTTGAAAATCCCAAATTTATGAAAGGTTTTCTTAAACTGTAATCCATAATCATCAAAATTATAACAAAAAAATGCTTGAAATATCTCACTTTACATAAGTCTATATTATATATTAGTTTTACCTTTTAAGTTGAATTACTGAAATAAATGATCTTTTGCACGATATTCTCATTTCTCGAGTTTCACCTGTACATCAGTGATGGGATGAGGGTGAGTAAATTATATATTTGTCATTTTTGGGTGAATTATCTGTTTAAGAATCGATATGGGTTCATCAAAATGAGAATGGATTAAAATATTTTCAACCCACATTTGTGGCCACAGCGAGAATCGCCACTCCGTGTAGGATCGGCTGCCAGGCTCCAATGTCCTGGGCCTTTTCCGGGACTATCCGACGGAACTGAGTCGTGATTTTCCAGGCGTCCACACGGATTTCACACAGGTTGTTGATCAGCGCCAGGAGAGGAGCCAACGGGAACGACGCCACAAACAGAGTCACAAATCCAAACTGGATCACTGTGGGAATGCAAGACCAAAAACATATCAGACAACAGTGTTCGGGCACTCGCAGCTGATTGGATGATTTAAATGTGTGCGCAAAATCTCACCCATCTCCAGGTATTCATAAAACAGGCCGAGCTTCCCGATTGGCTGGAGTTGATAGTCCTGTTCCCAGCGAGGGATAACTTTTTCTGAACCCACCTGGGTGCAACGGCGAAATATCACATTCTTCAGCCACCTAGAAACACGATTGTTTATTAATTGCTGTTGTTGTTTTTTTATCTGCTCTACGAAAGAGTTGATCATCAAAATTCAAGTCGAGCCAAATTGATCATGATGTTAATGTTCAAAATGGTCAACTCACGGCAGAAGGACTTCTTGTATGTTGTTCCAGACGGCTTTTCCGGTCATGATGATTGACAGCTGTGTGGTCAGCTCAGTCAGGCAGCCGCCAGGATCGCACTGAATGCCACATGAAATAAAGACTTGTAACAGACTTTTCACACTATTTAAATCCACTCGCATTGCATTCAAAGAATTCAGTTGCATATCACTTGATGCATGTTGTTATATAAAAGTCAAACTTATGACATACCAAGTCATATTTATGAGATGAAAAGTTGAAATTATTATATTAAAAAATTAAAATGATGACAAAAAAAAAATGAGATTATGACTTATAGTATTAATTTCGACATTGAAAATCTAAAATGATAATATTAAAAAGTTAAAATTCTGACAAAAGTCAAAATTATGTCTTGAAGTCATATTTTTCAAATTAAAAAGGTCGAAATTATGGCTTAAAAGTTTAAATTTTGACAAGAAGTCAAAATATTGGCATGCTAAGTGATGAAAAATATGCCAATTTCTAAATCTAAATTTGACAATTTAAGTCGAAATTCTGACTGAAAAAGTCGTAACTATAACATTAAAAAGTTATGTAATTATGACAGTCAAAATTCTGACTTAAAAAGTTACATACTAAGTCATAATTATTAGATTAAAAAGACAATGTATACATTGACTTTCTACGTCATAATCATGTATTCTTCAGTCAGAATTTTGACATTTTAAAGCAACAATATGTAAGATTTTTGTAATGAAATATCCCATTTTAATGTCATAATTTCAGCTTAGTAATTAGTATGTTATAATTATGACTTTTAAAGAAGAGAAGTAGAGTGGTAACTACCAGTGATGCGCGGGTCAATGTATAAACAACCCGCAACCGACCGACGTTTTCAACTACCCGCCCGCAACTCGGACCGCAAAAAAAAAGTACAAAAATATTGTACCCGACCCGCTTCCTGACCTCATTTTTTAAAAGTAGTAAATGCTCATCGGAGCGTCATTGGGCCATAGACGTGTAACAACACAGCATCGCAAGAAGACGCAGGCCTACACATAACAAAGCCAGCACTTTGGTCATCATCTTTCATTATTTCAGCAAATGTCTCCCACACTTTTACTCTTTCTATTTGTGTATTTGTGGAGCTTCCACTCCCCAGTCTTCACCTTTTCTCTTGCCGCCTCCATCTCTCTGCAGACTGTGATCATAGACATGGCCGGCTCGTGAACGAATCGTTCTTTTGAACCTGTTCTTTTTAGTGAACCGATCGAACCAGTACACTAAATAAAACTGAATCGTTCATGCAGTTCGCGTCTTGCGTCAGTGCTGCTCCACAAGTTACTAAAGTTACTCGCTTTCAGACATGCCTGACAGTCCCTCCGAATCGAAATAAATCAATATCCTGAATTCTATTTTACTCCAGTAACTCCAACAGTTCACTGAACCGAGACATGTTGGTGCCACTGTTGAGAGAAGTGATGAGCACGAGCAGCTGATACTGCGCATACCGAACGCAGAGGTACAGCGGTTCTCGAATCACCAGTATAGAACCGAGAACTGTTTAGACTGAGCTTGTGTGTTATCTTCGTGCCAGTTATTCAGCCAATAATGTGTAGGGCTGTATATTTCATCAAACATTGTGTCTAGTACTATATTAAAACAAACGTTTAATTGGCATCTTTTTTCAAACGACCCGACCGACCGCGACCCGAATATCATTAAAAATATTTTTGGATGACCCGTAACTGCGGGTAACCGCGGGTGACCGCAGGCACCCGCTCATTTCGGATCAACCCGCGCATCACTGGTAACTACTGAAGCAGCTGGCATGTAGTTTATACTCAGAATTTCTGATAATAATAATTAGGGCTGGGCGATATGGCGATATATATCGTTACCGCGATAGAAAACGTCAGTCGTAACAGATTTTTTTATTCCGTGTATACCGCGAAATGCAAATAAGGGGGCGTGGTTAACTCCCGTGCAGCGCGCGTGAGACTGGTGATGAGATTTGTCAAAGAAACATGGAGAAAGCAGATCAAGAGGATCCACAAAGGAATTACATTTTCTAAAGGATTGTTGTTAACGTGATATGTTCGGGGGGAAAGGCAGCCATCAACTTGAGCAGAGCAGCAGCACCCAGGCTACAGTTTAGAGGAGTGCACGTTCGCAACGGGGAAAGCATGAAGTTACTTGATAACAACATTTCATAGGCTATATCAATATCATTACGAGAAATAACCTTAAATAATGTATAGTTATCCGCATCTTTCCTTCTCTTATGTATAGTTACTTTTTAAACATGAAAATCGCATTCAGCATGAATGAACATCCTGCTTGTTAAAACGAATATATAGCCTAATCCTGTTTCTGAGGCAAAATTACTAAATATGCAGCGCGAGTTATATATTTTTTAACTCCAAACAATTGCCTACTGAACCAGTTGATAAAATCTTCCTTTGATTCGATCCGTGATTACAACTTCACTCTCAAATTAATCGATCACATTTTGTTGATGTAAAAGACGCGCGCGTGCACATGCACTGAGAGGGAGCGTGCGGTGTTCGACGCACTGTTATAAGGTGTGTATAATTTAAACTTAGTCAACACTAACAGTAGCTGCGGTGTGGTGTTCATATTGCTGATCTCCTTCTTGTCACTTCTAAACTGACGGGTTGCCAGATATAACAAAAAAGAGCAAAACAAGCCCGTTAAAACAGTGTGTGCAGTCTCCGGTTGTGCAGGAATACCCTTCTCCGTTAAAAACGCAGTATAATAAGCACATGTGGTAAAAAAAAAAAAATTATAATTATATTATATATATATATTATAATTATATTATAAACTGATTGATGAAGTAAAGCAATGCATGAGATTGAAAAATTATTTAAAGTTGAAATGCACCTATGAGTTGTATTTAATATCAATCTGTTGTGGGAAGTTCATCTAAAAGTGTTTTTTGTTCACTATATTTTGATATAAAAATAGTTTACCAAATAAATAATTTACCAAATAAAATAAAAATAAATCAAGGTGACATACTTTTCATCTCTAAAGTATTTGGGTTTATTTATTATACAAAGCCCTTTTTGTCGATTTTTTTTTGTTTTTTTTTGAGGATAACTATATAAATAACTATATCGTGAAATATATCGTTACCGTGAAATAAAATTAGTCATATCGTGAAACACAATTTTGGTCATATCGCCCACCCCTAATAATAATACGTATTTTGTTTTGTTTTTTTGCCTGTAGTTCCTCGTCTCCTCACGGAAATCTCTCACCTCCTCGTTGCGTAAATCCCAGAACCAGTAGACGGGCTGTCCCGGGTAGCCCACCAGCTTTCCTTTGAAGAAAGCGATGTAGAAACAGGACGAGTAATAGTTCACAAACTGAAAGAGGAACATCTTCAGCGTCAGGCTGTTCTCGTACTCCGTTTTGGTCCGCGGCAGCTCTGCAGCACACAGAATGAGCCACAAATTAACTTTCACTCAGTTTGGACCTAAAATAACTACTGTTAACACTTAGGGCCCTATCATACACCCGGGGCATTTTTTCCTAGTTTCAGCCCAACGCAATTATCATTTTCACGTCCTGTGCTACGTTGTTTAAATAGCAAATACATTTGCGCCCATGTCTGAAAACGTGGCGTGTTCGGACACATGGTGCGTTGGTGTTTATTTTTTGTTATTTAAAGAGTGTGTTAGTAATATGAGCCTATAAGCGGGTCCACAACGCTCTAGAGAGTGTACGCGTAAAATGTAAAAGATTATTATTGTGCACATAAATATATGGTGGAATCCGGTTTGTCCCGTAGATGTTCTGCTTGAGTTTTAACCTCACACACACACACACACACACACACACACACAGCTTTAATCTTGCGCATCCGTTTCTGCGCTAGAGAAACGTTAGTTTTTTCCGCTTGCAAATTGCGCCGTGTAAATAGCGAATCCGCCATCGTGGCGAGAGCGCAACTGGCTTTTAAAGAGAATGGGAGACGAGACTCTGATTGTTTTTTTGCACGTTACGCCCAAAACACACCCATTACTCATTAAGAGAATATAAACAACACTTTTAGAGCATGCGCCGGGAGCGCCGACCATTTGTCCCGTCGTTAAACTAGCAAAAGTGGATTCGGACGCCGAGCCGTGCGCTTTAGACCATGCACTTAGATCGATAAAATAGGGCCTTTATTGTCAAAAAAAATTTTTTCAAACTGGTGATTTACCGAAATCTGTGATCCAGATGGCTACTTTTTCGTAGACGTTGTTGAGAATCATGATGATGATGAAGCTGATGATGGAGGCTGTGATGGAAGTGGCCATCTGAGGGGTGACGTACTCTTTGAACGGCTCCAGCTCCTTGTGCTCGTTCATATCCGCGCGTAGTTTCGTAGAGAAAACGAGAAACATCCCCAAGCGATACACGATCACCCCGACCACTGATGCTATGATCAACAGAATCTACACGAGATCATAGAAGAGCAACAGAGAGGCGGATGATGCAACATGAAATGACAGTGAAAAGCCATTTTACATGCGTAATGTGAACAAAAGTGATTTAGAACATGTATTAGACTAGGCTTTAAATGCATGATGAGGCTGAAAGTGTAATATTACCCAGAATAACACAGTGCTGACGCCACATGACACTCTCATGCACTTCCCACAGGCCGTGTACGGCACCTTCTCATTAGACTGTATGAGACAAACACATAAGCACACTGCATATTTAATGCTTTTTTAAGCAAACACCAAAAACAATGGATAAAACCACTGCATCCAGTGAGGCTCGTACCTTTGTAATAGGGTTTATTCTGTCATGGATGCATTTGGCCTCGTATTCGGGTCGTGGCTGTTCCTCCTGCTGAAGAAACTCCACCGTGTCCCAATCGTGCTCCAGTACGGCCTGGTACCGTTTCCAGAACTCCAAAAACAGCGTCACTGTGACGGATAAAACACATAGCTTACAAGATGTGCCAAGTCATATTTATAAGATGAAAAGCTGAAAGTTTGACATAAAAAGTCAAAATTACGACTTAAATTCATAATTACGACATTCACAAGTTTAAACTATGACATTAAACATTTAAAATGATGACATAAAAAGTAGAATTTATGACTTAAATTCATAATTACAACATTAAAAAGTCGAAATTACACCTTAAAAGTTTAAATTCAAAATGATGACTTGAATTCATAATTACGACATTAACAAGATGAAATTATGACATTAAACAGTTAAAATCATGACGTAAAAAGACGAAATTATGAATTGAAGTCATACTTATTACATTAAAAAAAATGAAATTACGACTTAGGTTTAAATTATGACAAAAAGTCAAAATTGTGACTTAAATTCATAATTATGACATTAACAAGTTGAAATTATGACATTAAATATTTAAAATTATGACGTAAAAAGTAGAAATGATGACTTAAATTCATAATTATGACATTAACAAGTTGAAATTATGACATTGAACAGTTAAAATTATGACGTAAAAAGTAGAAATGATGACTTAAATTCATAATTATGACATTAACAAGTTGAAATTATGACATTGAACAGTTAAAATTATGACGTAAAAAGTCAAAATTATGAATTGAAGTCAATTATTACATTAAAAAGTCGAAATTACGACTTCAGTTTAGATTTGACAAAAAGTCAAAATTATGGCAAGCTGAATGATATAAGAAAAAGTGAAGAATATGACTAAATATTACAAACTTAAAATTACTAAATCGAAACTATAGCATTAAAAAGTCAAAATTATGATGGTCAAAATTGACATTATAATAATTACTACATTAAAAAAATCTAAATTATGACATTAATAGTCAAAATTATATACTAAGTCATAATGACATAAAAATAAGGTATATATTGACTTTCTATGTCATAATCATGTATTTCTCCAGTCAGAATTTTGACCTTTCAGTTAGAATTTCAACTTTTTAATGGCAAAACGAAAAGCTCCAAATATATTTATCCAATGCATCTAAATGTTGCATTACAAAAAATTGCAACACTTTACAATAAGGTCCCATTAGTAATAAGTTAACTAATGTTAATAAATAGAACATTATTGCAGCTTGCTGGTTCTGGGCCAGAATTTTTGATCTTTAAATTTGAGTACCTCATCTCAAGTGCGTAATTTAGGTGTGATGATCGACAATAGTCTGAAATTTGACAAGCAAATTGCCTCTGTAGTGGGCTCTAGCTTTTTCTACTTACGCTCTCTCTCTAAAATTAAATCTTTTCTCTCTACTGCCTACATTGGTTACCGGTTCAGTTTAGAATTGAATACAAAATTCTATTGCTTGTCTACAAATCACTTAATAATCTTGCACCACTTTATCGGAACTACTTCACTTGTATACCCCTAAACGGGGCTTAGATCTGTAAATAAATGCCTCCTTCAGATTCCCAGAACCCGACTGAAAAACAGGGAAAATAGAGCGTTCGAAGTAGCGCGTCCCACATTGTGAAACAAACTCCCAACTCAAATTAAAATGGCTTCTTCCTTATCTGAGTTTAAATCTGCTCTGAAAACTCATCTATTTGATGCAGCTTTTAACATGTAATTGACTTGTACTCACTGATCCTAAGTGATCACTGTTTGTTTTATTGTGTTTTATTGTAATTTTGTACAGCACTTTGGTCGGTTACCAGCCGGTAGTAAATGTGCTCTATAAATAAACGGAACTTGAACTTGAACTTGAATAAGCTGAGTCTATGTTGATGTAAAAGCATTGTTGATGCAATGTTGAGTAATCAAAGGTTTAGCATAATGAGGCTAGGATTAGGGTTCAAATGTGACCAGTGTATGACAGCATTACTCACCCCAAACAGACATGAAAACAGCAAACACTAATGTCCCATAGTTATCAAACACACACAGTCTCTGTGGAGGACAAACGAGAACAGAAACACATTATCAGTTTCAGAACAACAAAAAGGGAGTTTCACAAACACCAGAAGTTAAAAATAAGATCAGACATGAAATTTCCAAATCCTCCTGAGGAGACATTATGAAATATGCAATGTCTGTAAAGAGCGCTGATGCATTATTTTTACTCGCGACAAAAACCTGCAAGGATTTTTCCATTGGCAGAAAATAAGGTCTGTGATCGACGAAACGTTTATGATTCTTACACGTTCTGTTCATCATGATAATCTTCACAAGTGAACACAACTTTAGACCTAAATACAATATAAACGTAGGCTATTGTAGTACATCACAGTCACATTGACACTTAAAAATGGTGCATATTATATTATAAATGGGAGAAAGTGCAGGCTCAAACTGAGCGTGACGACATTCTGACAGTTGTACATCTTCTAGTAGTCCATTTCTTTTACTGTCTATGTTTTGGCCAAGCGGCGAATTCCTCTCTCTCTCTCTCTTGAATTCAACCATAGATTGTAAAAAATATGTACAAAGCGTCTGTGGCGTCACCCATTGACTTTCTGAAGAACAGTTTTGAGGCTGTTTATGGGGGGTATGGGCGGCGTCGTACTGGAAAATCTTGGGAAATACAAAATACAAATGTTCAGAAAGGATACAGTCAGAGGTGGTATGATGTGTTGTGTCAAATCATGGCCGAGACGTCAAATTCCACTCGGCGCAGCTTGTTATCAGCTGTCAATCAAAGTTAACCGCCCACATTTGTCATACATTTTATATCTAAATATAATATAAACTAATGAGTTCGAAAAAAAATCACCCCCCTCACAGTTGTCAGGCACTCGGAACCTATCGAAAAATACAATATAAGTCCATGGGACCAAACTGTAAACATATGAATTTATGCTGTGAAAACGGACAATTTAACATGACGTCTATGGATATTTGCTCCCTTTTGGGACCAGCCTCTAGCGGATTTTAGATGTATTGAAGTTTTTGCACTTCCGGGTAGGCAGTTCATCGACTGGGCACTAGAGACCGGCTGCAAAAGAGAGTCAATCCAATAGACACCCATGTTAATATCCCAAACTTTACAGCAGAAATATTTTTATAATGGTGCAAAAAGTTTTTATTTTTATTTTTTATAACTCATCCGTTTAAATTATATTAAGCCTTAAAGTTGTGAATAATTAAGGGCGGGGCCACTTGAGTGACAGTTGGATTGCCGCTGATGTCACTACTAGTCGTTTGTCTGCTGTCTGTTATGGCGCTTTTCCCATTGACAGTAAAAAGGGCTTTCTTGGCTTTTCCACTACACAGTAACCTTACCAGCTCGACTCGCCTTTGTTTGGTTTTCCACAGTGTAAAAGTTGTACCTGTACCTGTTTTCGGGTACTTTTTTAGTACCACCTCCGGCGAGGTTCTGCGCGAGCTAAAAGTCGCTACTAAAATGTGACGTGAAAACAATGCCGACTGCTGATTGGTCAGAGAGAATCGTCAACATTCACTGCGTCATCATTGCACGCGCCAGAGTATCCAGGCGATCCAGGCTAACCCCGCCATTTTTAAATAGTTTGTCCAGCGATAATTACTACTATGGCTACTCTGAAGAAAACGCCGTGGTCAAACGAGGAGGTGCAGACTTTCCTGTGTGTGGTTGCCGAAGAGAGGATCCAGCGAGAGCTTGATGGGGCAACCAGGAATGAAAAAGTTTATAAAGAAGTCTCCGAACGGCTGTTCAAGCTCGGCTACAACAGGACTTTCCGGCAATGTAGAGACAAGTTAAAAAAACTGAGAAGTAACTACAGAGCTGTAAAGGACGCACACAACGGCCGCAGTGGTTCAAATCGAAAAAGCTGGAAGTGGTATGAACAGATGGACGGTATCTACGGACACAGATCGAGCAACGGGAGGGAGGAGGGTGGACATAGACCGGAGAGCAACGCGAGGGAGGGTGGACTTGACTCGGCCACCAGTTTGTTGGAGGCGCCGATGGAGGATGGTAAGTGTTTTAAGTTTACATTACATAAATTGTAGGCGCACTCTGCTTGAGAGTTTTGTTTTCTGGCTTTTGGAAAGGTGAAGCTCACTTATAACAACGAAGACTGTAAACTTGTGTCGCAAATAACAATTGCTGCTAGCTTTTAGGAGAGAAAGTAAACCCTTCTAGCCTGTTGTTTGTGAATCTATACACTAATCATTAATCGTATCAATAACTCATTTATATATCATTATTATTATAATAACCTAAACTTAGTTTCATAACAACAGTAAGCATTCCCAGTGAATGGTAATGCAGGATTCATTAATAAACAGTATTTTAATAACTACACAGTGAGTGTACACACGGTAATTTAAAGTGGACATTTACTAAAAGAGTTGGGCTCAGATGTTACGTCGTTATTTGCCAACTTACTATATAGGCTTTTTTTATGTAGCAGCTGTAATGAACTATTTAAAACGCACACAACCATTGAATGAAACATGACTTGTCTGTTTTTCTTTATAACTCATTCATTGTAATTATTTTTTGTCCAGGACGGAGGAAACGACGCAGGGAACCGGAACACCTGACCGTCCTGAGGGAGATGCAGACATCGGATGTCGAGCAGCAGGAGTTGAACCGGGCGCAGCGGGAGCGCCATTTCCAGATGACACTCGAAGATGCAGCACAAGCCCGAGAACTAGAAGCGGCTTTAAGGAGAGAGGAGATCGCAGCTATGGCGTCCTTCAACCAGGCCTTTCTGGGAACCCTGAACCAGCTTGTCCAGGCACTGAACCGGCGGGATGCTGTTCCACCGCCCCTGGACTGAAACGCCTTAGTTTATTTAAATTTAATGTTTGCACTACATGTAACATATGTATATAGTTGGATGTGTGGATTTATATATTTTTTTCTATTTGTATGTGTGTTTGAATAAAACCTTTTTGAAACTTTTTACAAACTGTCTTTTTTGATGCTTTGCTTTTTCACAAGGGTTTTAACATGTATTTGAAAAAAAACAAACAATACAGCATCCGGGAGTGACACGGCCAAGATGGCGATGACTGGCACCGCCCACTTTGCGCTTCAAAAATGCTCTTCAGAAGCACTACAGGTGACGTCATGGACTGTACAGTCTATAGTATTGGCACAGAAGCACTTTATTTGATTACTCACTTTAGAGGACTCACATGTGATGTTCAGCCTCCAGTACGGACAGCGTTTATCACACTGCGGGCACATGACTATCTGTCCACCAACCTCAGGGTCGCACACCTCTTTGCTGCCCAAACAGAGTTATAATCAGTCAAAGCACATTGTAAGTACAGTGTGTATCAGAGTATAGCGGCGTGCTGTACCTCCATGTGCTGCTCTCTCTGGTTCTGTATCCGTATATGAAACAGCCGAGCCCGACTGCAGCCGCGAGGGACAACATGACTGTGTAGAAACCCAACCAGGCAAAATAAATGCCGATCTTCTCGCCGAAATACTTCCTGAAAGCAAGTTCAAGTGCATATTAAACAATGTGCATCCTTATGGACATTTTAGTCCTCTTAAGTCTGTACTACTTTGTCTGTATTAATGCTAACTGCATTCAATTTGGCACAGGTGTGTATTTTTATAGGAATTTTACTATTTCACCACCATTTTCTTAAAAATAAATAAATGTTGCACTAGGTACACAAAAAACTCCCACTCACCGCCTTTTGGACAAAAATATCCCCATTGAAACCCATTAAAACTATGGAAGCTAGTTTCCGCCAAAGAATGAAAAATAAAAAAGGTAATTGCGACTTTTTATCTCACGATTCAGACTTTCTTTCTTACAATTGCGAGATATAAAGTCAGAATTGCAAGATATAAAGTCAGTTTTGATTGATATAAAGTCGAAATTACCGGTTGTAAAGTCCGAATTGTGAGATATAAACAATTCTGACTTTATATTTCGCAATTTCAACTTTATTTCTCACAATTCAAGACTTCATATCTCACTTTTTTTAATTGATGCACCAAAACAGAACTGTCTTTAGCAGAGCTGCTTTACAGCTGAATCAAAGTTATTTCATAATTGATGAACTGAATTAAATCAACATTTAACTGAATGACACTATTGTTTTCTGTACGGCTGCTTTATAGCTGCCTCGAACTCGTTTCATAATTGATGAATTTGCGTTATCCTCATTTAGAGGGGAGCAGAAGTCAGAATAGAGAGTAAAACACACCTGATCAGGTTCAGCGGCTGCATCTTGTAGAAGCTCTTGGGATTCGCCCACTCGTTGTAAAGCAGAAATCGTTCATTTGGGCAACTGGGCTCTTTAGACTTCACATTAAATCTGCACTGTTACATAAATCGCAAAAGCACATTAGTGATCATTTAATACTGCAATAAAGTACTCATGCATCACCTCACTCACTCATCCAGTTTAAACTACGTTTGGGTAACAAACACTTTATTTTACAATGTCCTTGATACATATATTACATGCACTTACTATAATAAATTATGCATAATTACATGCAACTAAATCAAACACTAACTAATTTGGATATTTTCACCTGCAGAGTCTGATGGTTACTTACATCATGTAATGGATAAGCATCTTTGTACACGCCTCCGTTCAGCAGTTTGGAGAAGCCATACTTCTTCACGTTTCCTTTGACATCATACGGAGCTCGGTTGAGGACGTAGTACGCCTGTAACCAACGGTATATCAGTGAGAGACAGGTGAAGGTAAAGTGCAAGCGACTCTTAGAGCCCTACACTCTTAGAAAAAAGGTACGAAAGCTGTCACTGGGGCTGTACCTTTACAAAAGGTAAACTTTTGTCCATTTTAGGTGCTAATGTGTACCTTTTAGGTGCTGATATGTACCTTTTAGGTGCTAATATGTACCTTTTAGGTGCTAATATGTACATTTTAGGTGCTAATATGTACCTTTTAGGTGCTGATATGTACCTTTTAGGTGCTGATATGTACCTTTTAGGTGCTGATATGTACCTTTTAGGTGCTAATATGTACATTTTAGGTGCTAATATGTACCTTTTAGGTGCTGATATGTACCTTTTAGGTGCTGATATGTACCTTTTAGGTGCTGATATGTACATTTTAGGTGCTAATATGTACCTTTTAGGTGCTAATATGTACTTTTTAGGTGCTAATATGTACTTTTTAGGTGCTAATATGTACATTTTAAGCATTAATATGTACATTGTAGGTGATAATATGTACACTTAAGGTACCAATATGCACCCTCTAGGTACAAAAGTGTACCTTTTGAAAAGGTACAGCCCCAGTGACAGCTTTTGTACCTTTTTTTCTGAAAGTGTATTTTATCGATATAAGTGCATGGTCTAAAGCATGGTCCGAATCCACTTTTGCTAGTTTAACGACGGGACAAATGGTCGGCACTCCCGGCGCATGGTCTAAAAGCGTTGTCTCTATTCTCTTAATGAGTAATGGGTGTGTTTTGGGCGTAACGTGCAAAAAAACAAACAGAGTCTCATCTCCCATTCCCACAATGGCTGATTCGCTATTTACACGGCACAATTTGCAAGAGGAAAAAACGAACGCTTCTCTGGCGCGGAAACGGATTGCTCGTGCGCGAGGTTAAAGCCGAACGCTTTAACCTCGCACTCTTTAAAAAAACTAAATAAAATATTTACTTTAGAGGTTTTAGTTGGTCAATGGCTCAGTCTATTTCAGTTGCCTCAAAATAGCAACAATGCGTCTGAACCAGAAGCCCATGGGCGCGAATGCATTTGCTATTTAAACAAAGTGCCGCAGGACGTGAAAATGAAAATTGCGTCGGGCTGAAACTAGCAAAAAAACACTTGCGTCGCGCCGTGTGTATGAAAGGGCCTTTAAGATGTTCAACGCACCATTCTGCTCCTCATGGCTGGCGTGAAGAACTGATCTCTGTCCTTTATGCAAAAGCGGTTCAGCTGATCCTTCCTAAAGGGGGCCGTGAAGTAGTTCGCCTCCTTAGGAATGACGTCTTCGCTGGGGTAGAAGTGCTTGGTGATGCAGTTGTGCCCGGAGGATTCTGGGGCCAGATCGTTGAGCTGGATGGGCAGTCTGATGTGCAGGACTTCAGCGTAAGAACACAGCGTTTCAAAAGGCATGTGCAGTTTCACATAGAACATTTTCTCATCGATCACCTGCAAAACACAGAGATGGGAAAGGTCCCCATCAGCGCTACAGGAAGGTGTACTTGCCTATGTCTGAAACAATAGCATTCCTGCAGATTAGATCAACAGGTTGAGACAAGACCGGCCGTATCCTTCCTGAGAATCCATATTTACTGATGGAACTGATATAAACCAGAGAGGAGCTGAGGGTCTGATACCTATGGAAGAAAAACAATCTCTTTAAATATGGGATTAAACAACTTACGGATTGTGTCGCCTCCAATTCCACACCAAAATCCATCAGGCTTCCTTCAAAACACTCTCTTCGTTTTTGCTGGATAATAAATGAAACAAGAGAGAAGAGACAAAAACTTGTTGATTTTACGGTGAATGAATGAAGATGACATTGTTAGAAACATTATTACTCATTTAGGGTTTAAAGTTTGTATGAAATGAAAATACACAAAAAAATGTATTGATAAGAAGAGAAATAACAAAATCGGGGCATAAGAAAACGGTAAATATATATATATATGTGTGTGTGTGTGTGCGTATGTATATGTGTGTATAGTAGATTTTTGCTGTCAAATCGATTAATCGTAATAAATCGTATCAAACACAATAGTTTGTTTATATAATGTGTGTATGTATGTATATATATATATACTGTATATATATATATGTTTGTGTGTTTGCATTTATATTTTACATATACACATATATTTTTATATATAATAGATATACGTATACATACAAACACACACACACACACACATATATATACCGTATATATATATCTACATGTACACACACATATTATATATAAAAACAAACTATTATGTTAGATGCAAGTAATTGATTTGACAGCCCTTTGTATTTATATATATTATGAATGTTTTATTTTTACTTTATAATGTTTAGTGGCAGACTTTTCTCTTGTTACCCAAGCAGGAATTCTTCTATAATGCACTTAAACTCCGCCCCTACCATATTTTGAGTGCCACGCCCACATCTCAGCATCCAATCAAGAACCGATGCATAGAACCAAGTCCCGCCCCACTTTTTTACACCAATAATGCTTTATACTCGGATGTGTCACAAAACGGAAGAAAGGATCTGTTGCTACATCCGTTTCATCCTGACTTTATCATCAAGGTTATTATTAGGTTAAGAGTCGAGGGCCAGGACTTACATTAGTCATGAAGATTAGTAAATGAAGTGTGACTTACTTTTCTCCTATAAACTGAGCATTTTTTTTCTGATGCATTTCTAGACTCATCCTCATAGACCAAAACAAGGTCAATCCTTCTCATTCCATCGTTGAAAAACAGCGAGTCTGGGTTTCCATTAAAATCAACCTGCAAACGACAAACACAGGAAGCTCAAAGTCATCTCTATTTAGTAATGCAAAAGATATTTTATGAAATAAAAGGCCATTAAAGTTCCTTAATAAATGACTTTGAGCTAATTAATTAATTCTCCTATTGTCTTTGTCAAGATGGACAGAAAAGAAACAAACCTGTTTCACTTTTGGCGCAGCTTCACCATCTGGTCTAGATTTGTATGTTGGCACCTGCTCAGAATAATCTGGGAAAAAGCAATAAAATAAAATTAAAGGAAACATCCAACAGGTGAATCACAACGTCTGTGATCAGAAACTATGATAATAACTAACAAGCAGTAATACATCAACATACTTAAATTAATTATTGATTATAATATTTTCAATGCATGCAGCATTAAACATTTTCCCCTTCAAACAAATCAAACTCCATTACACTCGGCATGTGAACACTTTGGAATTATCTGATTTAATGTTTACTTACAGTGAAGGGAAAACCCAACCAAAACAAACTAACCAGAAAGCAAAGCATAATGGGAAACATTAACTCAAATCAGATGTTGCTCGGCTAGATGGAAAATGTCTATAGCAACGGCCTGAAAACAACCCATCTGTCCCATCACGCCTCCACCACACAGACTCATTCCAGCTTACGAAATTAAACTGTCCATAAAACAGAGCAGCAGGGCTGACACAAAGGAAAATACATGTATTTGTGCAATGAATATCACCATATACTGTATTATTAATGTAGTTCTTGCAAAATGTGTAGTTCTTGCAGTACAACAGAATCAAAAGTAAGGCAAAGGAGGAACTGACATAATTGAGCATTAATATAGACACACAACAAAGGCCTACATAAAACAAAGGTACTTAGTTTGAATCACAAGTAAAGAGAGAGTTCAAATGACCATATGCTGGTGAAGTGTGTAACTTGACTTTCTGGTTAGATCGTTTTGTATTGTTTTGGGCCTGACATATGCAAATGTGTTAGAGACTAGCTCTTTTAATATGGATTCTATGCGACTGAACGAGTTTGAGGCTGAGCCATAGGGTTTGAGCACATTATTTATGCGTTTCAATGAACTTCTTGTAGCTCATCACACCTGCTGCACCGGAAAAGAAACTAAACGTGTGACTCCAGCTACCAGGCAATCTTCTGTGAACTTTTGATAACGTTCTGGCAAGGTTTCTCGATGTTATGAAACATTCTTCGGGTGACATTAATAAACGTTATAAAGATAAATAACAAACGTTAGAAAGAAAAAGTAAATCGGGGGAAACGTTCCCCCGAAACGTTGTAGTAAGACGTTCGTGTGACTTTTTTTATAATGTTAGTTTGTTTCAGAACGTTCAGAGAACATTTAAAAGTAACATTCCCAAAATGTATGAAAAATTCTAAAATGGAACGTTCGCATGGTAGAGAAAAAAAGTTTATAACATTTACAAAACTTCAAATAGAACGTTGGCAAAACCAGAAAGCCAGAATGTTGTTCTTTCTCTCTGAATGACGATATTGATGTAAAGATGCACGAACTCACCCACTTCAGACATTAAACACATCTCAACATCGTTCAACCCATCGTTCTCTGTTTCTGAGTCCAGCTCATGAATGTCTTCTTCTGCTGCACTCATTCTTAAAACTCTGCACAAAACACTTGAGTAACATGTAACAGATAATAACAGGAGTTGGTACAGCACAGATGCGCAGCAGCAATACAAAATATGACCGAACAAAATGCGGTGAAGTTTCCACTGCCGGCCCGAACTCGCTGAGTCTGAGTGTGTGTAGGTGGGGTCGGAAGAGGGTTTTAGGGGTAAAATGTTATAGGCTGGCAGACAGTTATTGCATAACAATTTGTTGCTGCACATACTTGATGGTTTCCGCTTTTGCAAAAATTCCAGACATTTCTGTTTAACTACAGGTACATAGATGTCGAAAGCCTATAAAAGGTCCATCTTTTTAAGAACAAGTCATTGTTTATATTTTTTCCTATCTCTAGTTAACGCATTAAAACTAGTAACTCTGCATATTGTTAGGTTAAACATAACTTGAAACGATATAACGTATTTGCCACTAGGAACGATTCCCATGTCTTCGATTTCACACGGAGTGATTTGTGGGACGGAAGTGTGCAAAGACGCGCTTGCTTTAGCAACTTTGATATCTTGTAATAATGTACTTAATTTATTTGTTTAAAATACGAGTTTATTATACACAGTGGAAATCTTAATAGTGATGTTAGCACCCAAATGCATCTGTATCATAGTCCACAAGCACAAAATGAAAATCTCATGATTAGCCTACTAAATCTACCTTTACATAAAACCTTTACATTTGAATTTAAGAAGATAATTTGGTCTAGCCTTGGTGCTCCGAATTTGTATAGGTTAGTGTACGGAAGTTGAAGAAACGACCACAGAGGAAAAGGTCAAGTCAAGCTGCTTCAAAGTGTATTGTTCAGATGTCAGATAAGTGCAGACAGTGGTAAACGGACTATCATTTCCATCTTGTGCCCTTCTACCTTATGATGAACTATATGATAGAAAGGCATTCAGTGTGAGACAGGCAGTTTGCACTGTTCTCACGGAGTGATAATAATACTAACGCGCTGACAGACGAGACAACTTTTGAAACTAAGTATCAGCTTCACGAGGAAAGACATTAATAAATAAAATTACAATTACACTATATAAAACCACCAATAAGGGTATTAAATAGTTAAATTAAATAAGGTCTTCTTAGAATCATATTCCACCACAGAAATTTTCCATCTGCCCACTAATACAGTTTAACAATGAAGATTAATTTGACAAGTTATTAAGTAATAATTTCACAAGACAGAGAGGTTTTTTTTAATATGATAAACCACCTTGCTCTGTTCTGTGAACCACGTTTGTGACTCTTCTGTTCGAACTCGTTCATCAAAATGAACAAATCTTTTTCCGAGCCATTACAGAGCAAGGTGACCATTTGAGCTTATAAAACTTAAACGTTGTTATTTATTTATTAAATGAGCGATCGTTTCGCTTGATAAGACCCTTATTCATCGTCTGGGATCGTTTAAAGCCCTTTGAACAGTTTGCACTGAAACTGTCTTTTGGACCTTGAACCGTTTGGACCCCATTGAGGTCCATTATATGGAGAAAAATCCTGGAATGTTTTCATCAAAACCTTAATTTCTTTTCGACTGAAGAAAGAAAGACATGGACATCTTGGATGACACGGGGAGAGTAAATTATAATTAAAATAATTATCATTCAAGTAATGTGTATTGATATCAGACATGTTCAGTTTTTAATATATTTTCTGTCTTCTGTCTAGGCATTAAGAAAGCAAAATAAACACTGTGTTTGTGTGGGAACTCAACGCCTGGTCGTGTCAAAGTGACCCGCATTCTCAGTGTCTAGAGAAAGCAGGTCAGGACTAAATATATCCTTCAGGACATGCAATAACAAACTCAGGCTGTGTCTAAAAGCACTGCGTGGTGCATGATATTGCGAGTTACACCAAAATCCATGCGAGTTTTATAATCCATCTGGAAGTTCTCTGAAGTTTGTTCGTGTGTCTGACCTCTGAAACACAATGGACTACATGGAACAAATGGACGAAGATCCGCTCATTGAGTTTGCGATTCAAATGAGCCTCCAAGATCCTTGCAGTTTGTCTGTTTTGAATGAACCACTAAGGTACAGAGCGCACAAACATCTTTTATGCTCAGCATATATATATATATATATATATATATATATATTAGGGCTGTGCAAAAGTTAATTGCGATTAATCGCATCCAAAATAAAAGTCTCTGTTTACATAGTATATTTGTGTGTGCTGTATATAATTATTTTGTATATATAAATACACACACATGCATGTATATGTTTAAGAAAATGTGTTATTCCTATATAAAATATTTATATTTGTATAATATAGATTATGTATTTATATATATATACAGAATTTAAGCGCAAATAATTCTTAAATATATACATGCATGCATAGGTATTTATATATACAAAATAATTATATACAGCACACTATTATGTAAAACAGACTTTTATTTTGGATGCGATTAATCGCAATTAACTTTTGCACAGCCCTAATATATATATATATATATATATATATATATATATATCTCAAACATATTTAATTGTCTAATGCAGCACTTTAGAATCAGCCAGTGACGAAAACCTCAAGATTTTATCTGCTATACATCAAGGTACTTCATACTTCAAGGTACTTAATGCTCTGATTAGGCAATGGCTTGATATTCAGCATGTGTCGTAATGTTGTCCAGGTGATGTGTTGGCATTAAGGAAACTGCACAAGTACAGCGGTGCCTATAAGGAGAGAGACAGCCGAGGTTGGCTCCCGATGCACAAAGCGTCTGTCCAGCCAGATGCCCATGTGCTGGACCTCGTCCTTCTGGGTGAGCAGACGCAGTGTGCCTGTGTTAAAGGGACAGTTCACCCAAAATGAAAATTATCCCATGATGTACTCACTCTCAAGCGCCTCTGTATCCGTGTCCCGGACAGCCTCCTACGAGCTGAGCATGGAGGAGCCGACGGCCGGCGGAGACACCGCTCTGACTCTGGCTTCTCAAGCGGGACACGTGGAGAACGTGAAGCTTCTTCTCCGACACGGAGCGTCTCCACACAACACCAACAGCATGAACGAGACTCCACTGCTCCTGGGTAACTATAACACGAGGGAGACATCAAATAAGTCTCGCTCTCTAACAAGCAATTAAGCAGATTTTTTTTAGACTACATTAATTTAAAATCAATTTCACTTCATCAAGTGAAGAAATTACAGAATTAAAAATTTCTATTTCTATCTATCTATCTATCTATCTATCTATCTATCTATCTATCTATCTATCTATCATTCCATCCATCCATCTATCTATCTATCCATCCTTCCATCTATCTATAAATGTCTATCTATCTATCTATCTATCTATCTATCTATCTATCTATCTATCTATCTATCTATCTATCTATCTATCTATCTATCTATCTATCTATCTATCTATCTATCTATCTATCTATCTATCATTCCATCCATCTATCCATCCTTCCATCTATCTATAAATGTCTATCTATCTATCTATCTATCTATCTATCTATCTATCTATCTATCTATCTATCTATCTATCTATCTATCTATCTATCTATCTATCTATCTATCTATCTATCTATCTATCTGTCTGTCTGTCCACCCAACTACCCACATCTATCTAGCATCTATTTAGTACCCATCCATCCATCCAAAAGATAAACTAGTCTTCATAAGTCTCACTGGCTTGTGCAAGAAAGTGTACTGTGGAGTCGTACAAGCATATTGAAAACGTGGCATAACGTGGCCGTTGCATTTGTTACTTCTTACGGATCATAATCCTTTATTTCCCATTGCAGCCGTGAGGTCAAACTCTTATGATATGGTTCATGCACTCATAACGGGAGGAGCCCTCGTGGAGCAGGTGTGTTTGAAGAAGTGGACGGTAATGCATGAGGCAGCGAAGGTGGGCTGCGAGGACATCCTGATGCTGTTGCTGAGACACGGGGGGAAGGTGACGGGACGGGACGGGCACGGGGTCACACCGCTGGGCATCGCTGCAGAGTACGGCCATCCCCACATACTGGCAATCCTGATCCAACATGGTGAGTCTGACCACGAATCAACTCACATCCCTCCCTGAAGTCGTAGGCTCACTAAAATGATAAAGACCATTGATTAATTAGACTTAAAATGTTACTTACAGCTGATTCAACAAATTAATCATCATTCATTATCATTTCTTTGGTGTGCAAATTTAGCAATTCTGTTGCATAATAGCTAAAAAATCTGTACATTTTGGTTCACTATTATTTTAGATTTCCAATGCATGAGAGAAGTGTCCGAATGAATCTTAATACAGGTGTGTGTGATTATTGTTGTTGTGACTACTGAGGTCAGGCACACCTGAATTAATCAGTTTGTCCAATAATGGCAGACAGGAAACAAGGAGCAGGCTGAAGTTCAGGAAGTAGTGCAGCTGTGCATAAATCCAATTCCCCCTAAAATAAATGCATTTGCTTTCTCCTCTAGGGGGCGACGCCACCGCACAAGCTTCAAACGGAGACAGTGTTTTATACGACGCCGCAGGCTCTGGGAACCTGGACTGCATTAATCTGCTCTTACAACACGGTGCCAGCCCTAATGTAGCCAGTCTTTGCTCTCAACTGCCCATTCACCGTGCAGCCTATGAAGGGCACTACCTGTGAGAGCATGTCGAATCAATCTCACAAACTTCAACATGTCTGCCATGATAAAAACATTGTGTGCCTCCAGGGTTTGAAACCTGCCAACTTGGCTACTAAATTTTTAAGTTACCGGCTACAGAACTTCTACTAGCCCTCCCCAAAAAAGAAACCAGCTTAACTACGTCACAGCTTTTAATATATATAGACTATATAAAAAACTAATTGGATTTCATACATTAATTTCTCATTCAAACAAAATCATCCACCTGTCCTCTTCCATCCTTTTCATATAGTACAAAGAAAATAAAAAAATGTAGGATATTGGAAAATAACCTTGTCTTTTCTGTTAACCAAATGCTTCGCTATTGCTTCAGTGCAAATGAATAACCGCAACGTTATTTGTTGTGTAGTGACGTGTGTGTTCAAGCAAGCATAGATTCTGCGCAATACTCTGTATCAATAATTAATAAATCATGTTGACCCATGAGTTGAGGATTTGGCTCACACGAACCTTCCCAGCAAAGTAAATAACGCAATAAGTAACACAACAAAGCTAGTGATTTGACAGCGTTACCCGCCACGGTTGATTTTAACTCGCATTTGACGGGTGGGAGTAGTTCACTTTTGAAAAAACTTTTGCTGATGATTTATATCACCCCCATGTCATCCAAGATGTCCATGTCTTTCTTTCTTCAGTTGAAAAGAAATTAAGGTTTTTGATGAAAACATTCCAGGATTTTTCTCCATATAATGGACTTCAATGGGAACCAAACGGTTCAAGGTCCAAATGAGAGTTTCAGTGCAAACTGCAAACTGTTAAAAGGGCTTTAAACGATTCCAGACGATGAATAAGGGTCTTATCAAGCAAAACAATCACTCATTTAATAAATAAATAACAAAGTTTAAGTTTTATAAGCTCAAATGCTCGCCTTGCTCTGTTCTGTGCATGTTTGTTACTCTCCTGTTCGAACTCGTTCATCAAAATGAACGAATCTTTTTTCGAGTCAATTTGTTCGTTTCGTTCATTGAATAGAACCAAATGACTCGAAAAACGTTTTTTTTTTTTTTTTTTTTTTTTAAAGTGAACTACTCCTTTAATTTCAAACGCTGTGTGTCTCTTTAAACTGACAGGGCTTTGAGGACCTTCATTCCCATCACCACTAACAGAGCCATTCGTCTGTCTGGCATGAGTCCGGTTCATTCTGCGGCGGACGGAGGTCACGCTGACTGTCTCGAGCTGCTCATCGAACAAGACTTTGACGTCAACTCAATCTTAGGCTGCCATATTTCAGAAAACTACGGTGACATGAGGAAGACCCCACTGTACTTCGCCGTCTGTAATGGAGACGTCACCTGCGCTGAGATGCTTCTGAAAGCAGGAGCCAAACCGGACCTGGACCCTCTGCGAAGCCTCCTGGTGGCGGTCAGAGCTGGGAAACACGAGCTGGTGCGACTGCTTCTCGCTTATGGAGCGAACGTCAACTGCGTCTTCTCTGTCGTCAGTGACACTGTATTTCCCACGGGGCTGCAATACTGCCTCAAAGATGAAATGATGCTGCGTCTGCTCCTCAACAATGGCTACAATGCAGAAAGCTGCTTTGAGTGTCATCATGACAACCCTGTAATGACATACACATGGAGGGAGCATTTCAGCCAGACTTACCAAATCAAGAAAGTCACAAACAAAGTGACCGTAAGCATCATATTTGGGGGCTAGAAAGCCATGGAGTGGATTCACTAAACAATTGCATGCATCAAAACCTGCGTCTTATTCACTAACCACCTGAAAACCCGCTTATCCAGACGCTACGTGTGCTGGTAAAGCCATTTAAAACGCCTCATATCTGCGTATATTAGGTTTATTATAGAATGCATTGCTACAATAAATTTGATCAATCCAACAATAGGTTGCAATTGATTCTTAGGGAGTGTTCACACTTGGCATGTTTGGTTGGATTAAAACAAAACCTAGTGCGATTGCTCCGTTAGTACGGTTTATTTGACTAACTCTGGTGCCACCAAACAAGCGGACCGAGAGATGAGTCTCAATCCACTTCCAAACAAACGTTCGAATAAAATATAAACGCAAGACGTAATGAACACACACACAAGATGCGACCAAAATATGTAGGCTATACATACAGCGAGCACATTTAGCCCAGAATGCAGCGTTGTTCTGGAAATATACATCATAAAAGCCGAACAATCAGGTTGCGAACGTATCCCTTTGACTTTACGTTCGGTGTTGAAATGAAAAGTCCTGAAACCAGGACTAAATGTTTTTTTTTGGTCCGGAACAAACGAACCAAACAAAGTGTGGACACCCTTAGTGAAGTCATATTAAGAGCATATTTGAGGTCAAGAAACCAATGATCTTTGTCTAAAATAGCACTACTTCAATCAGCATGCATTGTATTATAGAATGCATCGTTTAATTCTTTTTATAGAGATAATGCATCTTATTGTGATCAATGTAACAATGTAACAATCCATCCTTAGTGAATTTCCCCAAATATTACATGTGGCCTAATTATGCACTCTTCCTTGCATGTGTTTTCAAGTTTTGCGAGTTCATTAACGTGTCGTGGATGGCGCACTTGGCTGGGAAGGTGGTCCAAACACTCCTGGATTACGTGAATCACGTGCACATCTGCTCTAAACTGCAATGCATTCTGGAGAAACAGGAGGAGTGGCCCAACATCTGTGACTCCCTCAGTAAGACACTTCACCATTCATATGTCTAACCTGTATGAAACACAAAAGATATCCATTTCTTAAAGTCTGTTTGGTGCTATAGGGAACCCACAGCCTCTGAAACACCAGGCCAGGTTGGTCATCAGGAGACACATGACACTGAGAAGACTGAATGACCCAGAGTTCATGAGCACCGTTCCTTTCCCCCCGACACTGAAGAACTTCCTGCTCTACCAAGAATATGATGTCTATGGGCGAATGGATGAACACTAGAAATATATCTATATGCATTTTATTCCAATTTGCTTTATTTGTCTGTTTCAAAACAATATAATTGTGATTGTATCAAAAGATGAGAGCATGTGCAGGTCAAATTTCAAGCTGAAACCATAATGATAAATAAATATAGTAATGAGAAGTTTGATTTTACAAAATAAAATGTAGTCTTAATTATAAGCATAATTTATTTTATGCAAAATATGCACCTTTGTTTTTTATTTTGGAGTGAAACTTGACCTGGACATGATTTACTCTTAAATATGTGCCGTGTTAAAAACATCATTTACTCTGGAAACAGTTTGACAGTAACTGACGTTATCACATGATAAAAATTGCATTATTTTTCTTAAAACCATAAGAATTTGGCATACATTTCAAATTTCACCAACAATCATACTGGTGATTTTACAGAAACTGTTGTTGCTAGAGATCCATGTTATCGGAGCAACAACATTCCTGCAGTGTCAACGCCAGTCGGCGGCTCTAGACACGCTTCAGACATTGTGTTCCTGTGTCATAAACACAGATCTAGCCTTTCGATGATGTTCGGATCATATGGGACAACAAACAGCTTATCTGAGTGTTCACACTCACTCCAAATCTGATCACTACACACACACACACACACACAGGGCTTATGGCCTTCAAAATCCATTCAAATCTACACCTTATTAACCTTTAGCCTCTTTCCAGATTCACTACTTTTTAGGCAAGCTGAGGATTTAATAGTATGACGTATGCTTTGATGAATGCAATAATAAAGCAAATTTTTAATCCTGATTATGACAGTGAGACAAACCCAGTTAAAGGCTAAGAGAGAAGAGGATTTTTTAAAATCCTCACAATGGTTCATGCCAAGCTGATAACAGTTCTTGGGATAATCTGCCCCTCACTATTAGCCTGTGACGTGTTACTTTAGATTGATGTGGTATTTTTGGCACGTATGAAAAAGCTAAAAACACTTAGAGAGTATTCTGGCAAGTCCAATTCAAAACTGAGGATGTCAACAACACAAAAACGGCACCTTTTAATGTTCAAATTTAGCATAATTAGGCCTCTTAAACAGTAAACGAGATTTCATTTAACGCACCGCGCTAAAGAGAATACACTCTAAGAAAAAAAAGGTACAAAAGCTGTTACTGTGGTGGTAGCTTTTCAAAAGGTACACATGTTGTACCTAAAGAGTGCCTATTAGTCCCTCAAAGGCAAACATTGGTACCAAAAGTGTACATATTAGTACATAAATGATAGCTTTTCTGAGAGTGTAGGTTTTACTCATCAAGTGTTAAAGTACGCTGGTAAAAACAACTTTCTAATATCACGACATTGCCATTTCTCTCTAAGCCATCTCCTCAGAGTCTATCTGCTTATTTTGGACATGAACAATGCAGTTAGCATTTACTGACAGGCCTCGCTGTGGCCATGTTGTGAGCTCACATGCTTTTTCCATCTCTGTCCGATTGACTCCTGCCTCCCAAAAAAGCAACGACATCATGGGCTGGGGCTTTGTTTAAGACCCCCTCCAGCTGCCCACCACAGTAGACGAGCGCTCACTCTCAATCACACCACTCATACCATCCCAGATCCCAGACCACTCGAAAGATCTGATGTACCAACACTGAGGACTTTCAGACTTTAAACAGACTAAGCCATGAGTACATTTGGCTACCGACGGGAACTGAGTAAGTACGAGGATTTGGATGAAGATGAGTTGTTGGCCTCGTTGACTGCGGAGGAACTTCAGGAGCTGGAGAAGGAGTTGGCTGATATTGACCCAGACGACAATCTTCCCATCGGACTGCGACAGAGAGATCAGACAGCCAAGACTCCCACTGGAACATTCAGCAGGGAAGCTCTGATGAAATACTGGGAAAATGAGACACGGAAACTGTTGGAGGAGGAGCGGATCGGTTCCACGAGCCCTAGACAGGTCAGTGATCCACAACCTCAAACACTAACAGGGGTACAACAGCCTGTCACCCTTAAAAGGTACAAATTTGTACCTTATTTATCCCTAAAGGGTACATTTTGGTACCTTAGTGTAGTAATATGCATTATGCACTCCCAGTTCGGTAGGTGCCTCGTTTTGGGGTCACAGTTCGATAAGAGTTTGGTACATTTACATTTGGATTGATGCATTCAAAATTATTGGTTTTATACACCAATGCTACAATTTTCAAGATATCAATCATTTGTTAACAAACAAGTTTTCATTACTTCAAAGAACTCATTGTCTTAAATTATTACGTTGTTTAAATTAATAGATTTTGAATGCAAAATGAATACCGTTACACCCCTACTATATTATGGCACCACCCTAGCCCTTACCCTTCAGGGGTAAATAAGGTATTATACAAAGTGAGAAGCCGAACCCTTGCACGAGTGTTGGGTTAAAACTAAAGTATGCTATATTTAGGGATTTTAATTTGAATTGTTGAATAGCAGCCATTTGGCAAAGGTTTAATAAAATATCCAGAAAGATTTACATACCTTTATAATCTGGTAAAAGGAATGATTTGAAAGGGTAAGAGACACCATGGGTCTGGGACTCAAGTTCTCATAATAGCACCAGGACAAATGCTTTTCTAAAAAAATAACTTTTTCAATTCCAGAAAGACGAAGACGGAGGAGAAGAGGAAGAAGGTTTACCTGAGAGTGACACTGAAGAATCTGGGGATGAAAAAGACGAGGCTGAAGAAAATGAGAAAGATGCACAGAAATATAGGGATGATGAAGAGGAAGAGGAAGAAGAGGAAAGTGAACTGGATGAACCAGTGACTGAAGAAGAGGAGGAGGTGGAAGAAGAGGAGGAGGAGGAGGTGGAAGAAGAAGAAGAGGAAGAAGAGAATGAAGACAACAGTCCTAAAATAGCACAGTCTCTAGGTTGTCCTACACAACCACAGGAGTGTTGGTCTCCCAATGGTCAGTCCAATCACAGAATGGCGGAGCCTGAAAGACGACACTCTCCACTGATAGGCGAAACAAAAGTCCAAGTTCAGGAGCCAAGTCGAATGTCAGGAAACCCCACTGTGGTAGACGAGGTTCTGGAAAACGTCCTCAACAATGACCCAGATACCACCGAAGTCAACCTCAACAACATTGACAATATCTCCCAAGACACTCTTATCCGATTTGCAGAGGCCTTACGTTCTAACACACACGTACGTTTCTTTAGCCTGGCCAACACACACGCAGATGACCAGGTGGCTTTTGCCATTGCCAAGATGCTGAGAGTAAACAGCAACATCACGAATCTTAACATTGAATCCAACTTCATTACAGGGAAGGGTATCCTGGCACTAGTGCAAGCCCTCACCCGAAACAGTAAACTTACAGAAATGCGATTTCACAACCAACGGCACATTTGTGGGGGTCAGGTGGAAATGGAGATTGTGAAGTTACTGAGGGAGAATACCACTCTGTTAAAGTTGGGATACCAGTTCGATCTTCCAGGCCCTCGTATAAGCATGACGACCATTCTCACCCGCAACCAAGACTTTCAAAGACAGAAGAGAATGCAGGAGATGCGTCAACAGCAAGGAGTTGCAGCGACTCCCGCAAACCCAAGAACGGTTGCGCTTCAGAAGAGCACCAACACCTCCTCTCCTTACAACTCTCCTCGAAGTTCACCATGGTCATCTCCAAAGCTACCACACATTGACATGGCAAAGAAGAACGCTCCTCCTCCACCACCACCACCTCCACCACCACCACCTCCACCCAAAGCCTCAATCCCAGAAAAGAAATCTCCCTCCAGAATGATCGCAGAGGTCATCAAACGGCAAGAGAAGACCTCCAAGAAGCAGCAGCATGGGCCCACCAAATCCAAATCCAAAAAGGGCAAAAACGGCACTGCAAAGCAAACACAGACTAACAGCATATTAAAGGAACTGAAGAACGCACTGAGACCCATCAATGACCGAGAGAGCTCCAGACCGTCCACACCTCTACGCTGCGCTCATGATCAACTCATGGACGCCATCAAAGGAAGTAGCATCAAAAATCTCAGAAGGGTGAGTATCTCCCAAAACATATACCACCAAAGCATTTTGAGAGCCGGTGCCTACTCCCGAACCAATTCTTTGTGTTTCGACAGCCAAAGAACCGGTTCTCGGCCAGGAAAATTGGTTCCAAAGTGGCACCAACTCTTTGCTGGACTAGAACCGTTCTTTCACCTCGTCTTGCTTACGTCGGGAGGCTTGGGGCGGGATTATTGTGACCAACAACACGACGGGAAAGGTTGCGACCGCCATTGCTAAAAACACAGCGCTAGTAGAAAGATAGCACAACGATTGAAGGAAGATGGATTCTAAAGCGAAACAGTGGTCGACGTATGGCGACATACACAGTGACGTAACAAAGTCATTCGCGGGGCTCTTTAGTCAGTGGAAAAACAAACAGGTCCTGGAGAAGGTTCGCAAGTTGAACCGACTTCGAACCAGCACCAGTTCCGAAGCAGTTCCTTTTTGGTGGAAACGAGGTGATAGTGAGCTTTCTTGTCAAATACAAAACCTGATTTGAACCTCAAATACAAAACCTGATTTGTAAAACTCTATACAGGCAGTTATGGCTTATTTTAAAAAGTACTCCCTTTAAGCCCAAATAACTCTTGTGAGCATATCATTGTTGCCAGCCACACCTGCTTTATAACAGGGGACGTTTCACAATATACACTATATTAGATGCATTCCTTAAAGAATATGGTCACCATGATGACCATTGCTGAAACTGAACCTTTACCAACGTTTTGGTTTTTTAGGGGTGGATTTATTCATTTATAGGAATTAAATAAGGTTACAATTCAAGTAGGCTACTGAGTAATTTTAATTACCAACATTAACTTACAATATAGAGTTGCAGTTAGGGCTTGGTTTAGGGTTTGTAACTTGTAATTATGCATCATTTATTCAGGTGTAACGATACCATTGTGGATTGTAAATGAATAGGCTTGGACTTCTTATTTCGAAACATGCACATTCATTTAGCCTATGTCTAATATGTCGAAATATTGAAATATTGTCAAATTAAGTTATGAATTACATGAATCGTGTAGGCTTGGTTTTAATTCAAAACGGCACGAAAAAAAGTTGAGTAACGTTACGTTAGTTTTGGTTAGGTCAACATTTCTTGGGGGGACAATTTGGACATATTTCTAATTATTGGGGCGGACTTCTTCCCTCTCGGTGTCAGCCCAGCCCCAGACATAAGAATAAATGTGGTTAAATGAACAAAATGGCAGACAACAAAACTCAAGCAGTTCACGCGGCAGTGGAAAACTCGGTGTTCTCCTCAGACAAGCATCCTGACCCCACAAATTCCTCACACTTAGTGCTGCTATGAATAGAAACCATTTTACCCGTCCCGATAAGAAGACAGATGCCTTGGTGCTGTGGAAAATTAAAACTGTTTGAGTAGACAGTACAATGAAAAAAAGACCGCTTGCCTGGTTTTATTATTGATTGGGCTGGGCAACAATAATCGCGAGTCATCGCATCCAAAATAAAAGTTTGTGTTTACATAATATACGTACTGTGTATAATTATTTTGTATATATAATTTAAACAAACACACGTGCCTGTACATATTGAAGAAAAATGTTTTATTATAAAATATTTATATATAAATTATGTATGCAAATAATATTTCTTACATATTTTATTACACCACATTTTTATTAAATGCATACAGGCATGTGTGTGTGTATTTATACACACACATATAAAATGTAAACGCAAACTTTTATTTTGGATGCGATAATCATTGCCCAGCACTAAATATAATAAAAATAGGTCGTGTTAATCTAATTGTGCTGCTGTGAACAAAATATACATGGGTCTGACCTTTTGGTTGTTCGCAGGTGGAGGTTCCTCAGTGTCTCCAGTAAGGACAGCTCCTGGGCATCATCTGCGAACACAGACACTGTGTGCTTTTCTGTTTAATGTTTAAAACAACAGGGTTTTCTGTATTGAGAATGACCTGGATATTTGCACTGTATTCATTTTTTTTAAATCACTTGTAGTCATTGAGGAAGTTTGTGCTGTTGTTGTGATTGTACTTTCTTGTTCTTAAATGAAAAAAAAAAAAAATCGACTTTGCATTGTTAATGATTTTTAACATGATTCCTGTCTGTATAAATGTAAATATCTGACTTGGTTTAAAAGATTAAAAAATCATCAATTTTATAATTGACTGAAATAATAAGAGCATCGTTATTTCTGCTATAGCTACCAAGCCTAAAAAAACGGTTGCAAAGGTCAGAAGACTAGCCTTCAGTAGGCCTAAGCAAACACAGGGCCAAAAGGTCTTTGCTGGAATGGGAGAGTATTGGTTATATGAATATCACAGTCTCTTAATCCAGACCTTGTATGTTTGTGTATTTTGGAAAAGTTCCCAGGGACTAAATCCACTCCGCAGCTGTTCACCGTGAACAGAGAAATGTTTTTAGCAGCAGTGAAGGAACGCATCTGAAAGACACATACTTTCCCACAAAGAATCGTTAAAGGATTAGTTCACCCAAAAATGAAAATCCTGTCATTATAACACACCCTGATGTCCTTCCAAACCTGTACAGCTTTGAAGCGCCAAATTGGTAGTTGCGTAGTCTGTCAATGGAGGGACAGAAATCTCTGATTTCATCAATAAGATCTTCATACGTGTTCCGAAAATGAACTAAAGTCAGTGTTTGGAACGACATGAGGATGAGTAATTTCATTTTTGGGTTAACAACATCATCAACACCATGCAGATTACAGCATGCAACAGACATTTAAAGCATGGCTAACTTCTGATCACATGAGAAAAAATAAAAGCTGCTGAACAGGTTATGGGGAGCACAGAAAATATT